CATAATGCCACCTCCATATGTCCATCTGTCCTTAATTTCCACCCCTGTCCGCTGTTTATTTTGTAAGTTTTTTACTGTTCTTTAATTTCCTCTGTATGCCTTCAGAAATTATTCACACCCCTTGACTTTTTCCACACTTTGTTGTGTTACAGCCTGAATTTAAAATGGATTAAATTGAGATTTTGTGCCACACAATACCCCACAATGTCAAAGTGGAATTTAGTTTTTAGAAATGTTTACAAACTATTACAAAAATGTAAAGCTGAAATGTCTTGAGTCATTAAGTATTCAACCCCTTTGTTATGGCAAGCCTAAATATGTTCAGGAGTAAAAATGTGCTTAACAAGTCACATAAGTTGCATGGACTCACTCTGTGTGCAATAATAGTGGTTAACGTGGTTTTTGAATGATTACCCTATCTCTGTACCCCACACATACAATGACCTAAATGGCATATTATCATTATTATTACCTTCAAGGTCCCTCAGTCGTGTAGTGAATTTCAAGCACAGATTCAACCACAAAGACCAGGGAGGTTTTTCAGTGCCTCGCAAAGGGCACCTATTGGTAGATGCATGGTGAAGTTATTCATTACGCTTTGGATGGTGTATCGATACACCAATTCACTACAAAGATACAGGCGTCCTTTCTAACTCAGTTGCCGGAAAGGAAGGAAACCGCTCAGGGATTTTACCATGAGGCCAATGGTGATTTTAAAAGTTACAAAGTTTAATGGCTGTGATAGGAGAAAACTGAGGATGGATCAACAACATTGTAGTTACTCCACAATACTAACCTAAAGGATAGTTAAAAGAAGGAAGTCTGTACAGAATTACAGGCAACATCTGCACCGAGCTAAAGGCTAGAGCTGCCGCTTTCAAGGAGCGGGACACTAATCCGGACGCTTATAAGAAATCCCGCTATGCCCTCAGACGAACCATCAAACAGGCAAAGCGTCAATACAGGACTAAGATTGAATCCTACTACACCGGCTCTGACGCTCGTCGGATGTGGCAGGGCTTGCAAACTATTACGGACAACAAAGGGAAACCCAGCCGCGAGCTGCCCAGTGACGCAAGCCTACCAGACAAGCTAAATGCCTTTTATGCTCGCTTCGAGGCAAGCAACACTGAAGCATGCATGAGAGCACCAGCTGTTCCGGAAGACTGTGTGATCACGTTCTCCGTAGCCGATGTGAGCAAGACCGGTCAACATTCACAAGGTCGCGGGGCCAGATGGATTACCAGGACGTCTACTCCGAGCATGCGCGGACCAACTGGCAAGTGTCTTCACTGACATTTTCAACCTCTCCCTGACCGAGTCTGTAATACCTACATGTTTCAAGCAGACCACAATAGTCCCTGTGCCCAAGAAAGCGAAGGTAACCTGCCTAAATGACTACCGCCCGTAGCACTCACGTTGGTAGCCATGAAGTGCTTTGAAAGGCTGGTCATGGCTCACATCAACACCATCATGCTGGAAACCCTAGACCCACTCCAATTCGCATACCGCCCCAACAGATCCATAGATGACGCAATCTCAATCGCACTCCACACTGCCCTTTCCCACCTGGACAAAAGGAACACCTACAGTGGGGAGAACAAGTATTTGATACACTGCCGATTTTGCAGGTTTTCCTACTTACAAAGCATGTAGAGGTCTGTCATTTTTATTATAGGTACACTTCAACTGTGAGAGACGGAATCTAAAACAAAAATCCAGAAAATCACATTGTATGATTTTAAAGTAATTAATTTGCATTTTATTGCATGACATAAGTATTTGATACATCAGAAAAGCAGAACTTAATATTTGGTACAGAAACCTTTGTTTGCAATTACAGAGATCATACGTTTCCTGTAGGTCTTGACCAGGTTTGCACACACTGCAGCAGGGATTTTGGCCCACACCTCCATACAGACCTTCTCCAGATCTTTCAGGTTTCGGGGCTGTCGCTGGGCAATACGGACTTTCAGCTCCCTCCAAAGATTTTCTATTGGGTTCAGATCTGGAGACTGGCTAGGCCACTCCAGGACCTTGAGATGCTTCTTACGGAGCCACTCCTTAGTTGCCCTGGCTGTGTGTTTCGGGTCGTTGTCATGCTGGAAGACCCAGCCATGACCCATCTTCAATGCTCTTACTGATGGAAGGAGGTTGTTGGCCAAGATCTCGCGATACATGGCCCCATCCATCCTCCCCTCAATACGGTGCAGTCGTCCTGTCCCCTTTGCAGAAATGCATCCCCAAAGAATGATGTTTCCACTTCCATGCTTCACGGTTGGGATGGTGTTCTTGGGGTTGTACTCATCCTTCTTCTTCCTCCAAACACGGCGAGTGGAGTTTAGACCAAAAAGCTATATTTTTGTCTCATCAGACCACATGACCTTCTCCCATTCCTCCTCTGGATCATCCAGATGGTCATTGGCAAACTTCAGACGGGCTTGGACATGCGCTGGCTTGAGCAGGGGGACCTTGCGTGGTGAGATCTTGCATGGAGCCCCAGACCGAGGGTGATTGACCGTCATCTTGAACTTCTTCCACCAACAGTTGTTGCCTTCTCACCAAGCTGCTTGCCTATTGTCCTGTAGCCCATCCCAGCCTTGTGCAGGTCTACAATTTTATCCCTGATGTCCTTACACAGCTCTCTGGTCTTGGCCATTGTGGAGAGGTTGGAGTCTGTTTGATTGAGTGTGTGGACAGGTGTCTTTTATACAGGTAACGAGTTCAAACAGGTGCAGTTAATACAGGTAATGAGTGGAGAACAGGAGGGCTTCTTAAAGAAAAACTAACAGGTCTGTGAGAGCCGGAATTCTTACTGGTTGGTAGGTGATCAAATACTTATGTCATGCAATAAAATGCAAATGAATTACTTAAAAATCATACAATGTGATTTTCTGGATTTTTGTTTTAGATTCCGTCTCTCACAGTTGAAGTGTACCTATGATAAATTACAGACCTCTTCATGCTTTCTAAGTAGGAAAACCTGCAAAATCAGCAGTGTATCAAATACTTGTTCTCCTCACTGTATGTGAGAATGCTGTTCATTGACTACAGCTCAGCGTTCAACACCATAGTGCCCACAAAGCTCATCACTAAGCTAAGGACCATGGGACTAAACACCTCCCTCTGCAACTGGATCCTGGACTTCCTGACGGGCCGCCCCCAGGTGGTAAGGGTAGGCAACAACACATCTGCCACACTGATCCTCAACATGGGGGCCCCTCAGGGGTGCGTGTTTGGTCCCCTCCTGTACTCCCTGTTCACCCACGACTGCGTGGCCAAGCACGACTCCAACACCATCATTAAGTTTGCTGACGACACAACAGTGGTAGGCTTGATCACCGACAATGATGACACAGCCTATAGGGAGGAGGTCAGAGACCTGGCAGTGTGGTGCCAGGACAACAACCTCTCCCGCAACGTGAGCAAGACAAAGGAGCTGATCGTGGACTACAGGAAAAGGCGGGCCGAACACGCCCCCATTCACATTGACGGGGCTGTAGTGGAGCAGGTCGAGAGTTTGAAGTTCCTTGGTGTCCACATCACCAACAAACTATCATGGTCCAAACACACCAAGACAGTTGTGAAGAGGGCACGAGAACACCTTTTCCCCCTCTGGAGACTGAACAAATGTGGCATGGGTCCCCAGATCCTCAAAAAGTTATACAGCTGCACCATCGAGAGCATCCTGACCGGCTGCATCACCGCCTGGTATGGCAACTGCTCAGCAACCGACCGTAAGACGCTACAGAGGGTAGTGCGTACGGCCCAGTACATCACTGGGGCCAAGCTTCCTGCCATCCAGGACCTATATACTAGGCGGTGTCAGAGAAAGGCCCCAAAAATTGTTAAAGACTCCAGTCACCCAAATCGTAGACTGTTCTCTCTGCCCCCGCAAGACAAGCGGTACCGGAGCGCCAAGTGTAGGTCCAAAAGGCTCCTTAACCGCTTCTACCCCCAAGCCATAAGACTGCTGAACAATTAATGAAATGGCCACCCGGACTATTTACATTGACCCCCGTACCTCTGCACATTGACTCGGTACCGGTAACCCCTATATATAGCCTCGTTATTGTTATTTTATTGTGGTGCTTTTTATTTTATTTTTGTCTTTAGGTTATTTAGTAAATATTTTCTTGAACTGCATTGTTGGTTAAGGGCTCCTAAGTAAACATTTCACGGTAAGGTATACACCTGTTGTATTCGGCGCATGTGACAAATAAAATGTGATTTGATTTGAATAAAAATATTCCAAAACATGCATCCTGTTTGCAATAAGGCACTAAAGTAATTCTGCAAAAATGTGCAAGAAATTAGATTTTTGTCCTGAATACAAAGCATTATGTTTGGGGCAAATCCAACACAACACATCAATCAGTGCCACTCTAGATATTTTCATGCATGGTGGTGGCTGCATCATGTGATTGATATGTTCGTCATGTCATCAGCAAGGGAGTATTTTGGTGGGAATAAAAACAAACGGAATAAGGCTAAGCACAGGCAAAATCCTAGAGGAAAACCTGGTTCAGTCTGCTTTCCAACAGACATTGGGAGACAAATGTACAGTTCAGCAGGACAATAAACTAAAACTCAAGGCCAAATATACACTAGAGTTGCGTACCAAGACTACATTTTATGTTCCTGAGTGGCATAGTTACAGTTTCGACTTAAATCGGCTTGAAAATGGCAAGACTTGGCAAGACTTGAAAATGGTTGTCTAGCAATGATCTACAACCAACTTGACAGAGGTTAAATAATTTCTAAAAGAATAATGTTCAAATATTGTACAATCCAGGTGTCCAGGTATTTTTATGTTTGCAAAGGCGGTCGCTTGATTTCATGCCTGGTCGGCGGAGGTCTCACTTTAAAGACTAATGGAGTAGTAAAAAATCGTGCACTCGAGGCAGCTGTTCTGGCCAACCGGGGCAAGTAAAAATCAAATCAAGCGTCCCCAAAGTGGGCTTCTTTTAGTGGGTTGGGCGGGGTTTTGTGTCTGATTGGCCTACTATGTGTCAATCAAATCTGGAAACACTTTAAGTACACAACTTTTTGACTAAAATCATATGATATCACCGAAGAAGTGTTAGCCTGAGGATTGGTGAAGGTTTAAACCGAAAATGAGAACTTTTGCCTTATTAATATTGGCCTGGATGACGTTGCTTGCGGTTTTACCAGTGATACATTGCAAAGAACAACGAGAACTGTCCGAAGGTAGGACAGCTCAAATAGCAACTAAACTTGCATTCCATCTTATTTTAAATGTTGCTGAGTAATTAGCAATCTCGCTAGATATAAAGTTGCAGTCATGGAAGTCGCTATACAACCGTTATTACATTGTAATTTGCATGTAACTCTCTCGGACTGATATTAAAGCAATTGCATTGCAGACACAAAGTTCCACCGTGTGTTCTCGAGAGTTCCATGCCGCTGACGTGGACTGGATCGCGTCTGATTCCATTCAGATTTGTGCCTAATGTTCTATTGAAGAAAATACATGTCAAGAAAGATGCAATACAGGCATACACTGCATGATAAATATTTTGGTTTTCATCAGGGTTTGAAGTATGTTAGGCGCAGGTGGCAGAGAGCAGTTAGGTTACTTGCTTTTAGGCTAATATTTTTTTTCTTGGAGGACTTTACTAGCTACACATCCTAATAATGTTTTTCTCCAGTTTAGCATAATGTTTACTGAGCTATAAATCAACATTGCATGTGTGCTGAAAATCTTTTTTATTGATAGAGATTGATGGAAAGTATTTATATCACGTCACAGTTTAAAGATAAGACTCATGAAACATACACTAATGGCATACTACAGTAACGTTATGCTACCATAAGAGAGAAGGGGAACATTTCAATGGTCAAGTAGACACATCTATACATTCTCAGAGACCACCTCCTGATATATTATCCAATTGAGCATGGTTGTTACAGACATTTACATAACGTTTTATGTGATTGTACATGGGCCAATTCTCACATAAATTACATACTTACATTGTTTTTAATGTCTTTCAGGCAACCTTTTAGTTGTGACTGTTGCGACCAAAGAGACAGATGGCTTCAGGCGTTTCATGAGGTCTGCCCGGCACTTTAACTACACCATCAAGGTATGGAAAGTTCTGACAAGATAAAACTGATCCAACCCTCGAGTGTCCAGACAATGACTGGCAACCATTCACTCTCTCCCTCTGGCAAATATCAACGCCTTAGTGAGGAAACAAGCCTTTATAAATCTATATTTTTGTTGTGGAGAATGTGGTTTGCAGTTGTTCTCTTTGGGTTTGAAGGTGCTTGGCAGAGGGGAGCCATGGAAAGGTGGGGACTATATGACCGCGCCAGGAGGGGGTCAGAAAGTGCGCCTTCTCAAAGCCAGTCTGCAGGAAATGAAGGAGGAAGATAAGGTTATCCTCTTCATCGACAGGTAGCCTTCAATCTGCCTTCACTCTTATCAGCATTATTTAATATATTATTTAATATATTCACACACAAAATTCATGAATATCAAAAGCTTGCCTACGACTGGCTCAGCACTGGTCTTACCCTACCAGACATGCCACCAGGAGTCTATTCACAGTCCCCAGGTCCAGAACAAATTCAAGAAAACGTACAGTATTATACAGAGCCATGATTGCATGGAACTCCCTTCCATCTCATATAGGGCAAGTGAACAGCAAACTTGGTTTAAAAAAACAAATAAAGCAACACCTCACGGCACAACGCTTCTCCCCCATGTGACCTACTTGTTGTGTGTATGTACTGACATGTATGTGTAACTGATAGATGCACACACACACACACACACTAAATGTTAATGTTTTTAAATGTACAGTACCAGTCAAAAGTTTGGACACACCTACTCATTCCAGGGTTTTTCTTTATTTTTACTATTTTCTACATTGTAGAATAATAGTGAAGACATCAAAACTATGAAATAACACATATGGAATCATGTAGTAACCAAAAAAGTGTTAAACAAATCAAAACATATTTTATATTTGAGATTCTTCAAAGTAGCCACCCTTTGCCTTGATGACAGCTTTGCACAATCTTGGCATTCTCTCAACCAGTATCATGAGGTAATCACCTGGAATGCATTTCAATTAACAGGTGTGCCTTGTTAATTTGTGGAATATCTTTCCTTCTTAATGTGTTTGAAACAATCAGTTGTGTTGTGACAAGGGAGGGGTAATATACAGAAGATAGCCCTATTTGGTAAAATACCAAGTCCCTATTATGGGAAGAACAGCTCAAATAAGCAAAGAGAAATGACAGTCATTACTTTAAGACATGAAGGTCAGTCAATCCGGAAAATTTCAAGAACTTTGAAAGTCTCTTCAAGTGCAGTCGCAAAAACCATCAAACACTATGATGAAACTGGCTCTCATGAGGACCACCACAGGAAAGGAAGACCCAGAGTTACCTCTGCTGCAGAGGATAAGTTCATTAGAGTTAACTGCACCTCAGATTGCAGCCCAAATAAATGCTTCACAGAGTTCAAGTAACAGACACATGTCAACATCACCTGTTCAGAGGAGACTGTGTGAATCAGGCCTTCATGGTCGAATTGCTGCAAAGATATATATATATAGAAAAACCCTTGATTGAGTAGGTGTGTCCAAACTTTTGACTGGTACTGTATGTCAATTGTAAAGTATTTAATCTGTAATGTATTTTTCGTTATGTGTCGGACCCCAGTAAGACTAGCTGTCGCCATTGGCGTCGGTTAATGGGGATCCTTATAAAATCCCCCCTTGGAACAATGAGGCTCATAAAGGTTATCTTTTCTCTCACTCTGAACAGCTATGATGTTGTTTTCGCCTCCGGTCCCAAAGAGCTGCTGAAGAAGTTCCAGCAGACAAGACACAAGGTGGTATTCTCCGCAGAGACCCTCATCTGGCCCGACAGACACTTGGAGGACAAGCACCCCCACTTCCGAGAGGGAAAGAGGTTCTTGGGCTCAGGGGGTATGTAAACACACTCCTCTTGATAACCTAGCAATGGAAGGCAGTCATTTTATTAACTGTCAACAGCAAGTTGTTGTCAGTTAAACACTAATACTAACAAACACAGCTTTGCTTTTTAAACGTTGACATGCAACAGTCCAGTTAGAAGTTGTCTCAAGTCTCAGTCGTTTTTATAGAAATGAGAACATTGGGCCTAAGACATAGGAACTGGGAATTAATTCACCTGGCAGTTTATCCACTAAGGTTTGAGACTGTGAATGGCAGTTTTATAATCTTAATGTTTAAGTCAGCTGCTGTTGAGCCCTAGTCAGAAAACCAAAGGGACAGAAGTCCAAACACGAATATGAAATCACATGAATTGGACCTCGATTACATTGACCATTTGTTTTTGAAATTCCGGTTTTACTGTTCAAACTGCTTTGTCTTTGTCACTATTTATCTTTGTCCCCAGGATTCATTGGCTATGTTCCGAACCTCAAAGAGATGGTTGCTGACTGGACAGGGGAGGACGATGACAGTGATCAACTTTTCTTCACCAAGATTTATATTAACCCAGAGAAAAGAGTAGGAATCTACCTCTGTACTGATCTTGTTATGGTGCTTTAAGTGGTCTCTCTCAGAACTACCTTAGCACTTTACTACCTATGCATTTCTTCTTGGTATGAGTACTGTATGTGTATTATACTGTAACATTATATCTATGCAGTATTTTCTGGTGGTAGATCAGCTTAATATTGCAGATAGATTGTAACTTCTATCAATGTAATTGTCTGCATCACTTCCAATCCCCCACGTTTTTTATATATATACTCCCCTTTATTACTTTTCAACCCCGCCATCCTTTCCCTACTTGGGGTAAATTAGTGAACAACAATGCCCAGGCCTCTATTTCCAGCCTATACTTACTATCTACACCTTATGGACACAGTCAATTTTACAATTGTTTTGCTATTATAGTGTTATTAATAAGTTATATGTTTTTTCTTCCAGAAATCCATCAATATAACACTGGACAACAAATGCAGAATGTTTCAGAATCTTCATGGATCCCTTGGTGATTTTTTAACAAATTACACATCTCTTTACACTTAGAGCATGTCTCGCCAATGTCTCGCCACATCACCTCTAGCCAAGAAGTATACACTTCAACATTTTCGAATGAAAAGGCCACTGCACCACTGAAACCTGCTGACATCAGCTTTTAAATTCTTGATCCTCTCCCCTTCTCACTGGGACATCAAAACGGCTGTTTCAGTTGACACTTTTTCCGTTCTATAAAGAGATGCTTGGAGAAGAAAAGAGGAAAGTGCGACCTCCCTCTGGTTTCACTTCCTGTCTGTGTTAGTCGTGACTGGCTGATTGAGGCTTTGATGAAGGAGTATGGGTGTGATGCAGGTTGTCATATCCTTAGGCTTTCTGGTTCAGTGGCAGGCAGCCCCCTTTTGGACAGCCGACAGACTGCTTTAAGTCTTTCTTCCTTTCTCTCTCCTCCTCTTCCCCCTCTCTCTTTTCTGGATGCCGCTGGCTGAGGCTGAGCCTGCGTTAGGAATTTATGAGTTTGCTGTGAGAGAGGGATGTGTCTGAGCTCACGTAGACCAGAGAGGGAAGGGGGTAGGGGTCAGGCACAGCTCCATGCTTTTCCCAGATGCTCCCAAAGCACAGGGCTGGATGTGTAAAAACGTTTTAAGCAGCTGCAGTTAGGTAGGCGTGCTGAGTAAACGCTACATCCTACCAACTCTACAGTAACGGCTTCCTGTTAATAACTATAGACTTCCTTATAATAGTCAGCTTCTTGAGAGGGACAGCAAGATCATGCTTGTTTGTGTTTATGTCTTGAAACCTACTTGAGGTGAAAAGGAGAGAGCTGAAATTGTCACAGCATCGTTGTAGAACCCAGCCTGCCAGAGAGAGACATACATTCATTCGCAAAATGTAGTGAGTGGTGACGTCACTGGTGGTTTGCCAGTTTCAACTGCAACACCCCACAGTTGCTACATGTTTATTTGGTGCTGTTTAGCTTTGGAAAAGGTTTTTATTTTTAACCTTAATTTATACAGGTAAATTACATTGAGACCTTGGCGTTGTTTATAAGTGAGCCCTGAACACATTAAATACAGAGTTTGTTAGTTTTGTAACAAAATCTGTTGAATTACTGTGTTATGGAATCCATCTCCAATACATGATGTCCTGAGTGTATTGTATGTTTCAGTACTGTGGATTGATTAGCCACTGACTAGCATTGAGTGGCATGCTTCAAGTCTCTCTTGGAAGACACGTGGCCGGCCAACAATTGGCAGGCATGTCGCAGGACTAGTACTGATGTTACGGTTTGTGTGTTTGAGCACAGATGAGGTGGTGTTGAAGTTTGAGGACGGGCAAGTGCGGGCCAGAAACGTGTTGTATGATACATTACCCGTCATTGTTCATGGCAATGGGCCCACCAAGGTAACCTTCCAACTTTTGACCCTTTGACCCCTATTGACCATTGAAATTCTATTGACCATTGCAATTCAGACACATTCAGACACACATGTAAATGTGAGACCAAAAAATCATCCAAATATTTGGGGAAAAGTAGGTAAACAACAGTATCAAGAAGTGGTAAAAATAAAATAAATGTTTTTTGTTTTAGCTCCAGATCAACTACTTGAGCAACTACATCCCCACAGTGTGGACGTTTGAGACGGGTTGCAGTGGGTGTCTTGAGGACCTGCGGCCACTCTCAGGACTCAAGGTGGGTTGCCTGTCTGTTTATGTAAAGTATTCTGGTAATACACCTCTAAGGGCTTATTCTCATTGAAGAGATTTGTAGCAGAGGTATCGTGATGAAATTTCAATTTACCTAATATGTACATAAACTTTTCAATTGACATTAGCAACAGAATTTCATGTGCCTAGAGAGGGTTCAGGGGATTGGCGACGGACATTCTTGCTTCGCAGCTTAAATTTACCGTAAATACCCCAGTATAGCCACTAAGCATGCTTTTAACAAACTATTCAACTATGCAAGCAACTTTTCATCTTAACCAACTTTTCATCTTAAGCATATTACACTCTTTTATAATGCAACAATTCACAAGCATTTGCAGACAATTAAAGGATTTATTTTCTTGTCCGAACACTCATTACATTTCAGGTAAAAAAAGTATTAAATATAAGGAATACATTTCAGCTGTTTCAAAAGCATTGCTCTGCCATTTAGATGTTTACTGTAGGAGCATTTCGCTTGAAGAGACCATTCTGTTTACATCTGACTGCTCAGAGGGGGGTGACTCTCGAGCAAGGCTCGCCTGCGACCTTCGTAGGAGACGTTACAAATTTACATTACACTAAAAGGTCTAATGAATCTCTCGTAGTGAGAATACACTCTTAAGCTGAATTGTAATACACAGGTGTCGGAAACGAAACACAGCAGACACGCAATTTATACCGGTGCGATTAATGGTCACCTGTGGTGTGTGCCAATGTAGCTTGATCAAATCAAATCACATTTTATTTGCCACATGCGCCGAATACAATAGGTGTAGACATTACCGTGAAATGCTTACTTATAGCCCTTAACCAACAATGCATTTATTTATTAATAAAAAAGTTAAATAAAACAACAACAACAAAAAAGTGTTGAGAAAAAAAGAGCAGAAGTAAAATAAAATAACAGTAGGGAGGCTATATACAGGGGGGTACCGGTGCAGAGTCAATGTGCGGGGGCACCGGCTAGTTGAGGTAGTTGAGGTAGTTGAGGTAATATGTACATGTGGGTAGAGTTAAAGTGATTATGAATAAATCATTAACAGAGTAGCAGCAGCGTAAAAAGATGAGGTGGGGGTTGGGGGGCAGTGCAAATAGTCCGGGTAGCCATGATTAGCTGTTCAGGAGTCTTATGGCTTGGGGGTAGAAGCTGTTGAGAAGCCTTTTGGACCTAGACTTGGCGCTCCGGTACCGCTTGCCATGCGGTAGCAGAGAGAACAGTCTATGACTAGGGTGGCTGGAGTCTTTGTCAATTTTGAGGGCCTTCCTCTGACACCACCTGGTATAGAGGTCCTGGATGAAAGAAAGCTTGGCCCCAGTGATGTACTGGGCCGTACGCACTACCCTCTGTAGTGCCTTGCGGTCGGAGGCCGAGCAGTTGCCATACCAGGCGGTGATGCAACCAGTCAGGATGCTCTCGATGGTGCAGCTGTATAACTTTTTGAGGATCATAGGACCCATGCCAAATCTTTTCAGTCTCCTGAGGGGGAATAGGCTTTGTCGTGCCCTCTTCACGACTGTCTTGGTGTGTTTGGACCATGATAGTTCGTTGGTGATGTGGACACCAAGGAACTTGAAGCTCTCTACTGCCCCGTCGATGAGAATGGGGGCGTGCTCAGTCCTCTTTTTTTTCTTCCTGTAGTCCACAATCATCCTTTGTCTTGTTCACGTTGAGGGAGAGGTTGTTATCCTGGCACCACACGGCCAGGTCTCTGACCTCCTCCCTATAGGCTGTCTCATCGTTGTCGGTGATCAGGCCTACCACTGTTGTGTCGTCGGCAAACTTAATGATGGTGTTGGAGTCGTGCCTGGCCATGCAGTCATGGGTGAACAGGGAGTACAGGAGGGGACTGAGCACGCACCCCTGAGGGGCCCCCGTGTTGAGGATCAGCGTGGCAGATGTGTTGTTACCTACCCTTACCAACTGGGGGCGGCCCATCAGGAAGTCCAGGATCCAGTTGCAGAGGGAGGTGTTTAGTCCCAGGATCCTTATCTTAGCGATGAGCTTTGAGGGCACTATGGTGTTGAACGCTGAGCTGTAGTCAATGAATAGCATTCTCACGTAGGTGTTCCTCTTGTCCAGGTGGGAAAGGGCAGTGTGAAGTGCAATAGAGATAGCATCATCTGTGGATCTGTTGGGGCGGTATGCAAATTGGAGTGGGTCTAGGGTTTCTGGGATAATGGTGTTGATGTGAGCCAAGACCAGCCTTTCAAAGCACTTCATGGCTACAGACGTCAGTGCTACGGGTCGGTAGTCATTTAGGCAGGTTATCTTAGTGTCCTTGGGCACGGGGACTATGGTGGTCTGCTTGAAACATGTTGGTATTACAGACTCAGTCAGGGACATGTTGAAAATGTCAGTGAAGACATTTGCCAGTTGGTCAGCACATGCTCGGAGTACACGTCCTGGTAATCCGTCTTGTGAATGTTGACCTGCTTAAAAGTCTTACTCACATCGGCTACGGAGAGCGTGATCACATAGTCATCCGGAACAGCTGGTGCTCTCATGCATGCTTAAGTGTTGCTTGCCTCGAAGCGAGCATAGAAGTGGTTTAGCTCGTCTGGTAGGCTTGCGTCACTGGGCAGCTCGCGGCTATGCTTCCCTTTGTAGTCTGTAATAGTTTTCAAGCCCTGCCACATCCAACGAGCGTCAGAGCCGGTGTAGTACGATTCAATCTTAGTCCTGCATTGACTCTTTGCCTGTTTGATGGTTCGTCGGAGGGCATAGCAGGATTTCTTATAAGCGTCCGGGTTAGAGTCCCGCTCCTTGAAAGCGGCAACTCTACCCTTTAGCTCAGTGCGGATGTTGCCTATAATCCATGGCTTCTGGTTGGGGTACGTACGGTCACTGTGGGAACGACGTCATCAATGCACTTATTGATGAAGCCAGTGACTGATGTGGTGTACTCCTCAATGCTATCTGAAGAATCCCGGAACATGTTCCAATCTGTGCTAGCAAAACAGTCCTGTAGCTTAGCATCTGCGTCATCTGACCACTTTTTTATTAACCGAGTCACTGGTGCTTCCTGCTTTAGTTTTTGCTTATAAGCAGGAATCAGGAGGATAGAGTTATGGTCAGATTTGCCAAATGGAGGGCGAGGGAGAGCTTTGTATGCGACTCTGTGTGTGGAGTAAAGGTGGTCTAGAGTTTTTTTCCTCTGGTTACACATTTAACATGCTGGTAGAAGTTAGGTAGAACGGATTTAAAGTTTCCTGCATTAAAGTCCCCGGCCATTAGGAGCGCTGCCTCTGGATGAGCGTTTTCCTGTTTACTTATGGCCTTATACAGCTCGTTGAGTGCAATCTTAATGCCAGCATTGGTTTGTGTTGGTAAATAGACAGCTATGAAAAATATAGATGAAAACTCTCTTGGTAAATAGTGTGGTCTACAGCTTATCATAAGATACTCTACCTCAGGCGAGTAAAACCTCGAGATTTCCTTAGTATTTGATTTTGTGCTGTTGGCCACCCCTTGTCTTACCGGACAGGTTTGGGTGACAAGATTCTCTCGGGAATTGGATGAAAAGGCATTTGACGCGCAGTCAGACTGCTCCAAACAATTTACATATAAGCGATGGTACTGAGTGGTACTGCTTTTGCTAATAGCAATGTGTTTTTGCTGTCACCTTGCAAACAGCATTTTTTTTTCTAAATCTACGGACAGCAACGTAAACCTAGAGTCAAAGCACAGTCTTAAGAAATGTTTCTTTCTGGTTGATTTTTATATGCATAGTTTTCAAGTCGACTGCAATGTACATGACAATGACATTATATGACTATTTTTAATAAGGCATCTGTTTGTCTGTACAGGAGAGTGAATATCCACTGGTGGTCATTGGAATCTTCATCCAGCAGCCCACCCCCTTTGTCAGTGTGTTCTTTGAGAGGTTGCTCAAACTGGAATACCCCAAAAACCAACTCAAACTCTTCATCTACAACCAGGTGAGAGAAAGAGATCTTACTACGTAGTACCAACGATCCAACATTTAAAGGGATACTTTGAGGTTTTGTCAATGAAGCCCTGTATCTACTCTCCCAGAGTCAGCTGAACCCATGGATACCATTTATATGTCTCTGCATCCAGTATGAAGGAAGTTACAGGTAGTTTAGCGAGTGTTAGCGCAGCTAGCTGTTACCATAGACTTCTAGTCATTGCGCTATCGCTAGTTAGTAACTTCCTTCAAACTGCACGCAGAGACATAAGAATTGTATCCACGAGTTCATCCGGCTCTGGGGAAGTAGATAATTGCCAAAAATCCCAAAGTATCCCTTTAATATATGTGTATAATTAAATATTTTCCCCTTTTGATTTGAGTTACCATTTGGTCTTGTATGAATGAAACACAGTGTTAGTTGCACCCAGTAACCTCTTGTGCATTTCTCCCTCCAAATTGTTGCTAATCCACACATGTGCTCACATGCCTCTGTGTATAGTATAACAATGACAAGGAATGTGGCAGATCTGTGCAAGTACAGTGGGGGAAAAAAGTATTTAGTCAGCCACCAATTGTGCAAGTTCTCCCACTTAAAAAGATGAGAGAGGCCTGTAATTTTCATCATAGGTACACGTCAACTATGACAGACAAATTGAGATTTTTTTTCTCCAGAAAATCACATTGTAGGATTTTTAATGAATTTATTTGCAAATTATGGTGGAAAATAAGTATTTGGTCACCTACAAACAAGCAAGATTTCTGGCTCTCACAGACCTGTAACTTCTTCTTTAAGAGGCTCCTCTGTCCTCCACTCGTTACCTGTATTAATGGCACCTGTTTGAACTTGTTATCAGTATAAAAGACACCTGTCCATAACCTCAAACAGTCACACTCCAAACTCCACTATGGCCAAGACCAAAGAGCTGTCAAAGGACACCAGAAACAAAATTGTAGACCTGCACCAGGCTGGGAAGACTGAATCTGCAATAGGTAAGCAGCTTGGTTTAAAGAAATCAACTGTGGGAACAATTATTAGGAAATGGAAGACATACAAGACCACTGATAATCTCCCTCGATCTGGGGCTCCACGCAAGATCTCACCCCGTGGGGTCAAAACGATCACAAGAACGGTGAGCAAAAATCCCAGAATCACATGGGGGGACCTAGTGAATGACCTGCAGAGAGCTGGGACCAAAGTAACAAAGTCTACCATCAGTAACACACTACGCCGCCAGGGACTCAAATCCTGCAGTGCCAGACGTGTCCCCCTGCTTAAGCCAGTACATGTCCAGGCCCGTCTGAAGTTTGCTAGAGTGCATTTGGATGATCCAGAAGAGGATTGGGAGAATGTCATATGGTCAGATGAAACCAAAATAGAACTTTTTGGTAAAAACTCAACTCGTCGTGTTTGGAGGACAAAGAATGCTGAGTTGCATCCAAAGAACACCATACCTACTGTGAAGCATGGGGGTGGAAACATCATGCTTTGGGGCTGTTTTTCTGCAAAGGGACCAGGACGACTGATCCGTGTAAAGGAAAGAATGAATGGGGCCATGTATCGTGAGATTTTGAGTGAAAACCTCCTTCCATCAGCAAGGGCATTGAAGATGAAACGTGGCTGGGTCTTTCAGCATGACAATGATCCCAAACACACCGCCCGGGCAACGAAGGAGTGGCTTCGTAAGAAGCATTTCAAGGTCCTGGAGTGGCCTAGCCAGTCTCCAGATCTCAACCTCATAGAAAATCTTTGGAGGGAGTTGAAAGTCCGTGTTGGCCAGCGACAGCCCCAAAACATCACTGCTCTAGAGGAGATCTGCATGGAGGAATGGGCCAAAATACCAGCAACAGTGTGTGAAAACCTTGTGAAGACTTACAGAAAACGTTTGACCTGTGTCATTGCCAACAAAGGGTATATAACAAAGTATTGAGAAACTTTTGTTATTGACCAAATACTTATTTTCCACCATAATTTGCAAATAAATTCCCAAAAAATTTTTTTCCTCATTTTGTCTGTCATAGTTGACGTGTACCTATGATGAAAATTACAGGCCTCTCTCATCTTTTTAAGTGGGAGAACTTGCACAATTGGTGGCTGACTAAATACTTTTTTCACCCACTGTACCTGTCAAGGGTCAACCGTCTTAACTTCAGGGTCCAGGCATAAGAAATGTTGACATAAATAAAATATGTATTACAACACTTGAAATTTGTTGTTGTTAAAATGTCATACATTTATAAGTTATGTTCTTCCAGAATTAATGGGAATATATCAAGAATTGAAATAGAGAGGAGATTCAGCAACTCTTGGTGGACAATGGAAGTTCTGGAAAACCCTGAAGAAGGCCGAAAGCTGGAACGCGTTGGTTTTACTTTCATACAAAAAATAAGCGTTTTTATTCACTTCCAATTTCCACCAAGAGTTGCTGAATCTCTACTTCAGTTTTGCTCCTCAATTCATGCACCTTGGTTGGAGAGCGAGGTAGCGGCAGTACTCCCTTCCATATTTATCAAGAATTGAAATGACAGATTTCATTGAACAGATTCCCATATCCCACATTGTAGCTCAATGGTAAGCAAAGGGCTTTGTTTAATTTCAACCTCAAACATCTGTTGGGCTGAAATGCTCTCATTGTAACTCTTTATTTTTCCTTGTGTGAATGTGACTAAGACTGTTGCAGAAGCATAACAACTCTTGTCTTTGCTACTGTCCCACAATGTCCTCTTACAGGAGCAGCACCACGAGGTACAGGTCAGCTCTTTCCTGAAGGACCATGGGACAGAGTACCAGGATGTAAAGGTCATCGGGCATGAGGAGAACATGGACAGGGTGGCCTCCCGCAACCTCGGCCTGTGAGTTCACCTTGGCTTTCTCTCACACTAGCTTTGGATGCGCACATGCAACCTAGCTTGACATCATTCCCAAGTTTTTCAAAGATGTTCAGCATGTGACCTGGGGTGTAGTTTGGAGCGGCGCACAATTGGCCCAGCGTCGTCCAGGGTAGGGGAGGGAATGGCCGGCAGGGATGTAGCTCAGTTGGTAGAGCATGGCGTTTGCAACGCCAGGGTTGTGGGTTTGTTTCCCACGGGGGGCCAGTATGAAAAATAAATAATGTATGCACTTACTAACTGTAAGTCGCTCTGGATAAGAGCGTCTGCTAAATGTAAATATATATGTAAATATGTAGTTTACTGGTTATGGCTGCTGCCTTCAGAGCATACATGTACTGTATCGGCGTAGGTTCCAATCCCCAACTAAGAAAAAAGTATGTTAGGTGTGGGACTGCCCCATAAAAGTGTGTTTCCCATTTTCTGGTTCACAGTGATATGTGCCGACAGGACAAGGACTGCGAGTATTTCTTCAGCGTGGATATCGAAGTGGTTCTGAAGAACAAGGACACCCTAAAGATTCTCATCCAGCAAAATGAGTAAGCACCAATAAAATGAGCCTGTCGATTATGGCTGACCAGATTCCAAATCTGATGACACATGCTATAACTGCTCTCCTAAAAATACTGGACATACACGTGTTTTTGGGTGGATACACTTTCAAAGCTCAGCTGGATTTCAGTGTGAAGTGATTAATCATCCCCTGTCACCCTTCAGGCCTATAATTGCACCCATGATAACCAGAGAAGGCCGCCTATGGACCAACTTCTGGGGAGCACTCAGTGCTGATGGCTACTACGCTAGGTCGGAGGACTATGTGGACATTGTGCAAGGACGCAGAGTGTAAGTCACACACACATTATTTCCCATAACTGAATATACCAATAAGGTAATTATGGAACAATGTCCTTTTATAGCTGAGGTCTGATGGGTTTTTGTTATGTGACTCTTCCGGCGGCAGAAATGCTCATTTTCTGCTGTAGGATCATATTTTGGTAAACTCGACAACACTACTACAGCTTCCATACCAGTACCATAGTCTTGTTTTAGAGAGCGCTTTCAGCACAATGTATGAGAAGCCTGTTCTAAATAATGTTTATTGTCACTACAGCGGTGTATGGAATGTCCCCTACCTGACCAAGGTGTACCTGGTGAAGGCCAGCCTCCTTCACGAGGAGCTCTCCGCCAATGACCTCTTCAGCTCGGGCACCCTGGACCTCGACATGGCCTTCTGTCGCAACGTCAGAAACAAAGTCAGTGTTGGAAAGCCTTGATTGATTGATTGAATGATTGATTGGTAAAATGCTCCATTTCATGTTGGGTATAAAAATACATGACAATAGAAGAATACTTTACTGTCCATTACCTTGCAGAGAACTTAAATGTGTCTTTATGCTCACAACATAAAGAGAGCATAAAGCAATGGGTCAGCCGCAGTGCAGCACCCCTTGGAGAAATAGTAGGAATTAAGTGCCTTGCTCAAGGGCGCAGCGGCAGGCAATGGCATGTAGGATACCATTGGAATTTAGTCTGAAGTCTCGTCTTGCTCTCAGTCCTTCAGTGTCCAGTATCAGTCACAGGTGCTTAGGTTTCAAAAGATAGCGAAACTCTGATTAGAAGTGAGACACCCACACAGTGTCAAACCCGTAGAAGTCCCAAAACTTAGGCCAGGGATAAAATATTTTAACGTTATAGCTTCAAACTATACAGTGGGGAAAAAAAGTATTTAGTCAGCCACCAATTGTGCAAGTTCTCCCACTTAAAAAGATGAGAGAGGCCTGTCATTTTCATCATAGGTACACGTCAACTATGACAGACAAATTGGGAAAAAAAAATCCAGAAAATCACATTGTAGGATTTTTAATGAATTTATTTGCAAATTATGGTGGAAAATAAGTATTTGGTCACCTACAAACAAGCAAGATTTCTGGCTCTCACAGACCTGTAACTTCTTCTTTAAGAGGCTCCTCTGTCCTCCACTCGTTACCTGTATTAATGGCACCTGTTTGAACTTGTTATCAGTATAAAAGACACCTGTCCACAACCTCAAACAGTCACACTCCAAACTCCACTATGGTCAAGACCAAAGAGCTGTCAAAGGACACCAGAAACAAAATTGTAGACCTGCACCAGGCTGGGAAGACTGAATCTGCAATAGGTAAGCAGCTTGGTTTGAAGAAATCAACTGTGGGAGCAATTATTAGGAAATGGAAGACATACAAGACCACTGATAATCTCCCTCGATCTGGGGCTCCACGCAAGATCTCACCCCGTGGGGTCAAAATGCTCACAAGAACGGTGAGCAAAAATCCCAGAACCACACGGGGGGACCTAGTGAATGACCTGCAGAGAGCTGGGACCAAAGTAACAAAGCCTACCATCAGTAACACACTACTCCGCCAGGGACTCAAATCCTGCATTGCCAGACGTGTCCCTCTGCTTAAGCCAGTACATGTCCAGGCCCGTCTGAAGTTTGCTAGAGTGCATTTGGATGATCCAGAAGAGGATTGGGAGAATGTCATATGGTCAGATGAAACCAAAATATAACTTTTTGGTAAAAACTCAACTCATCGTGTTTGGAGGACAAAGAATGCTGAGTTCCATCCAAAGAACACCATACCTACTGTGAAGCATGGGGGTGGAAACTTCATGCTTTGGGGCTGTTTTTCTGCAAAGGGACCAGGACGACTGATCCGTGTAAAGGAAAGAATGAATGGGGCCATGTATCGTGAGATTTTGAGTGAAAACCTCCTTCCATCAGCAAGGGCATTGAAGATGAAACGTGGCTGGGTCTTTTAGCATGACAATGATCCCAAACACACCTCCCGGGCAACGAAGGAGTGGCTTCGTAAGAAGCATTTCAAGGTCCTGGAGTGGCCTAGCCAGTCTCCAGATCTCAACCCCATAGAAAATCTTTGGAGGGAGTTGAAAGTCCGTGTTGCCCAGCGACAGCCCCAAAACATCACTGCTCTAGAGGAGATCTGCATGGAGGAATGGGCCAAAATACCAGCAACAGTGTGTGAAAACCTTGTGAAGACTTACAGAAAACGTTTGACCTGTGTCATTGCCAACAAGGGGTATATAACAAAGTATTGAGAAACTTTTGTTATTGACCAAATACTTATTTTCCACCATAATTTGCAAATAAATTCATAAAAAATCCTACAATGTGATTTTCTGGAAAAATTTTTCTCATTTTGTCTGTCATAGTTGACATGTACCTATGATGAAAATTACAGGCCTCTCTCATCTTTTTAAGTGGGAGAACTTGCACAATTGGTGGCTGACTAAATACTTTTTTTCCCCACTGTATATATTTTTTATGCTTTTCCTCCCTTTACTTCAATTTCTCAGGGAGTCTTCATGTATGTTACGAATATGCACACCTTTGGACGGATGCTGTCGACAGAAAACTACCAGATGAGTCATCTCCACAATGATCTGTGGCAGATCTTTGAAAACCCTAAGGTGAGAATTGGGTTTTCAAGTAGTCATTGGGGGAAAAACAAAGGCTCCTCTAAACTGAATTCAGGCCTAGACAGTATCATGTACCGCACACCTTTTAGTTAGTTTGCTTGAAGACTAATTTTATCACTCAGCTGCAGAAGAGCTTATTGCATGTAATTACATGCAAGTGTATGTTCTGCTGTCCTTTGCAACAGTAAGAATGCCATTGTCCTTTATATAAATCTGCTTATGTTGACAAAACATTTAATCTGTTCATGTGTTAACTTGTCTAATGACAATAAATATAGTAATGCATCTCTACACTGAGTATACCAAACATTAATATAATAATAATATTGAGTTGCACCCCCTTTTGCCCTCAGAACAGCCTCAATTTGTCGGGGCATGGACTCTACAAGGTGTCGAAAGCGTTCCACAGGGATGCTGGCCCATGTTTACTCCAATGCTTCCCACAGTTATGTCCTTTGGGTGGTGAACCATTCTTGATACACAGGAAAATGTTGAGCGTGAAAAACCCAGCAGCGTTGCAGTTCTTGACACAAACCGGTGCGCCTGGCACCTACTACCATACCGCGTTCAAAGGCATTTCAATATGCCCAATCACCCTCTGAATGGCACACATACACAATCCATGTCTCAATTGTCTCAAGGCTTAAAAATCTGTCGTTAACCTGTCTCCTCCCCTTCATCTTCACTGATTGAAGTGGATTTAACAGATGACATCAATAAGGGATCATAGCTTTCACCTGTATTCAGCTGGTCAGTCTATGTCATGGAAAGAGCAGGTGTCCTTAATGTTTTGTACACTCACTGTATATTCTTAATTTTTCTCAGGATTGGGAGGAGCGCTACATCCATGAGAACTACACAAAGATAATGAGAGACAAACTGATTGAAACAGTGAGTACTTGTTTTTCTATCAAAGTATAATATTTCAATGCTCACTCAAAATCACTGACATTGACTATTGCTGCATATAATATTCTTATGATAATGGCTAATAAAGGTGATAACCTAAGTTTCTTAATAGATAATAATAATATATGCAATTTAGCAGTCCCTTTTATCCTAAGCAACTTACAAATCATGTGTGCGTACATTTTACGTTAGGGTGGTCCTGGAAATCGAACCCACTATTGCAAGCACCATGCTCTACCAACTTAGCTACAGAAGACTCTTTCTGGGTGGTCAAAGTCCAGTTGGCTACAAAGCTACAGATGAAGACCACAAACTGCATGCTCAAAATATTTCTAGAATGTAAGGTTTATGGACAGAGTAGAAATTCCCTGCCTATCTGCTACTCTTTGAAAATACAAGGTCATTCAATTGTACATCATTCCCCTTCCAGCCTTGCCCTGATGTATACTGGTTCCCAATATTCTCTGATATCGGATGCGATCACATTGTTCAAGAAATGGAAAACTTTGGACAGTGGTCAGGTGGCAGAAATACGGTATGTATTTATACTCCTAAACCAATGTAGCCTACAATATTATCTTAGCAAACAAACCTATACATGTAAATGTAATAACTTGAGCATTGTATCATGTTTTTATATTATCTTATTTACTGAAGGACACAAGGATCCAGGGTGGCTATGAGAATGTCCCCACCATTGATATCCACATGACTCAAATAAATTATGAGAAAGAGTGGCAGAAGCTTCTGTTGGATTACATAGCCCCAATCACAGAGACAATGTATCCCGGATACTACACCAAGGTATGGTTTTTAAAAACACATTTGTATTCATTTTAGATGGATTTAGTGTCAATATCAGCTAACCTCCACTGCGGGCCAAATCACATGCGCAGCTCAACAAAAATGCATATTTTCATTACTCTCCCAATTTTTCATTAATTTTAACTCCTGAATTATACACTGCTCAAAAAAATAAAGGGAACACTTAAACAACACATCCTAGATCTGAATGAATGAAATTATCTTATTAAATACTTTTTTCTTTACATAGTTGAATGTGCTGACAACAAAATCACACAAAAATGATCAATGGAAATCAAATGTATCAACCCATGGAGGTCTGGATTTGGAGTCACCTTCAAAATTAAAATGGAAAACCACACTACAGGCTGATCCAACTTTGATGTAATGTCCTTAAAACAAGTCAAAATGAGGCTCAGTAGTGTGTGTGGCCTCCACGTGCCTGTATGACCTCCCTACAACGCCTGGGCATGCTCCTGATGAGGTGGCGGATGGTCTCCTGAGGGATCTCCTCCCAGACCTGGACTAAAGCATCCGCCAACTCCTGGACAGTCTGTGGTGCAACGTGGCGTTGGTGGATGGAGCGAGACATGATGTCCCAGATGTGCTCAATTTGATTCAGGTCTGGGGAACGGGCGGTCCATAGCATCAATGCCTTCCTCTTTCAGGAACTGCTGACACACTCCAGCCACATGAGGTCTAGCATTGTCTTGCATTAGGAGGAACCCAGGGCCAACCGCACCAGCATATGGTCTCACAAGGGGTCTGAGGATCTCATCTCGGTACCTAATGGCAGTCAGGCTACCTCTGACGAGCACATGGAGGCTGTGCGGCCCCCCAAAGAAATGCCACCCAACACCATGACTGACCCACCGCCAAACCGGTCATGCTGGAGGATGTTGCAGGCAGCAGAACGTTCTCCACGGCGTCTCCAGACTCTGTCACGTCTGTCACATGTGCTCAGTGTGAACCTGCTTTCATCTGTGAAGAGCACAGGGCGCCAGTGGCGAATTTGCCAATCTTGGTGTTCTCTGGCAAATGCCAAACGTCCTGCACGGTGTTTGGCTGTAAGCACAACCCCCACCTGTGGACGTCGGGCCCTCATACCACCCTCATGGAGTCTGTTTCTGACCGTTTGAGCAGACACATGCACATTTGTGGCCTGCTGGAGGTCATTTTGCAGGGCTCTGGCATTGCTCCTCCTGCTCCTCCTTGCACAAAGGCGGAGGTAGCGGTCCTGCTGCTGGGTTGTTGCCCTCCTACGGCCTCCTCCACGTCTCCTGATGTACTGGCCTGTCTCCTGGTAGTGCCTCCATGCTCTGAACACTACGCTGACAGACACAGCAAACCTTCTTGCCACACCTCGCATTGATGTGCCATCCTGGATGAGCTGCACTACCTGAGCCACTTGTGTGGGTTGTAGACTCCGTCTCATGCTACCACTAGAGTTAAAGCACCGCCAGCATTCAAAAGTGACCAAAACATCAGCCAGGAAGCATAGGAACAGAGAAGTGGTCTGTGGTCACCACCTGCAGAACCACTTCTTTATTGGGGGTGTCTTGCTAATTGCCTATAATTTCCACCTGTTGTCTATTCCATTTGCACAACAGCATGTGAAATGTATTGTCAATCAGTGTTGCTTCCTAAGTGGACAGTTTGATTTCACAGAAGTGTGATTGACTTGGAGTTACACTGTGTTGTTAAAGTGTTCCCTTTATTTTTTTGAGCAGTGTATAATTAGAACGTGAAGAATAATAGGGAAAATGCATAAATTATCAGTAAAGTTTTATTTTACAGTCCAGTTTCAGCTGGTGGGTTGTTTGTGTGGTTACAATGGTACATCGTGGTTCTTGGTTTAGTAAGCCCCACAAAATGTAAATATTTCTGCAAGTTTGTGCACCATTCTGTTACCTATCGCCACCTTGTGGCCTGATATCCATTGAGTTAGCCCAGTAGAAATATGTTTATTTAAATATGTTTAAATGCACATATCGCCTGTTATTTGATTAACTTTTGAATATTACTTTGTTCACAGGTTAACAATATTAATATTCTTATTTATGTTTCAAAATGTAGAATAATACTGTATGATAGAAATTGCTGCTGATTTACAGTAGAATAGTCTACATTTAAACAATTCATCATTCATTTAATACAAATGCAACAGACATGTGAAATGATATTCCAAATATGTTTTTGAATAGAATCTATGTATAGAACGGGGTCCCTCTGTGCTACCATGTTGACCCTGACATGCGTCTCTTCTCTTATCAGTGTATCTCTTACCTCAACTTCGTGGTGAGGTACAAACCTGACGAGCAGCCCCTGCTCACCCCTCACCACGATGCATCTACTTTCACTATTAATGTAGCTCTCAACAGCAAAGAAATAGACTATCAGGTAAATGGGTATTAGGTGTCCAGTCCAGCAAGACACACTAAACTGGCAGGTAACCCAGACAAACACCCCTTAAGCGCCTATTTTAGGACAGGATGCAGGTGTTTTGTCCTCTTTCCTGTCTCTTCTCTGGGAATGTATGCTGGATCAGGGAGCTCGCTCTTCTTTTTCTTAGCTGAGGTTTCGCCAGGAGGTCAAGGGGCACGTGGCTGTCCCGGCAGCCCTCCCGGCTCCTTTGTGAATGCTGCATGACTCTTTGCATCACTCTGGTATTTTCTGTCTGTCTCTCTCTTTGCAGGCTCAGTTTGACTTGGCGTTTGTAGTTAGGTATAAGCCAGACGAGCAGCCATTTTTAAGGCCACACCATGACGCGTCCACATTTACTATAAATATTGCACTCAATCAAAAAGTGCTTGATTACCAGGTGAGTGTGTTTGTGTGATGATTTACACATTGACTTGGGGAGTTGGCCTATAAAGACTGGGTTAGACCAACTGATATGTGAACACTTGTAGGGCTACCCGCACTGTAATATTTGTAACACTTATGGATGTTCCCTGATTTGTAATGGAAGTGCCCAGTACACTCAGGCACCTCTGAAATTCAAACCCTACGTCCCACTATTATTAACATCTATTAAAATTAACACTACTATACGGTTATTTAGTTTGAAATTGGAACAGAAAGATCAGTGAAGTTGTGTATTTTCCTGAAATGTTACAATTAAGTTTGCAAATCAACTTATTTAAAGTAGGAATGCAAGTGTATGAATGTACAGTATGTCTTCTGAAATGTCCTAAGCATGTAGACCATTAGTTGCTTTGTATGTTTTCATCACTGTTTGTTTCTATGAATACAATTATTCCAGGGTGAGTTTCCCAAAAACATCAAGATCATGTTTATCATTAAGATACTCGTTCCTCCATTGCCTACCAATGGATTTAAGATGATCTTAATGCTAAAGATGATCTTTATGTTTTTGGGAAACTCACCCAAGATTGATTTCATCAGAATCATTTTGGTGACTCATTCTTTCGCCTTTGCACGTAAAAAACAATAACCAACATTTGAAAGGCTTTTGAAGATGTGTTGTATTGCATCCGTGTCATTACCCTGCATCTTTCAAACTTTAACTAGAATAGGTGCATAATCTGGTTTGTTTTGAGAAGGAGGTGCTTTCCGCACAGTTACTGTTTTTCCACCGTTCACAATGTGTTATTTACACATAGTTATGTACCTATGATGAAAGCCTTCAGTGTTCTGGGTCTCCTGTGCAGTGTGACCTTGAGTCCTAGGCAAGTTGACATTTCTCTATGTATATAATGTGAAGTACAGTGGGGAGAACAAGTATTTGATACACTGCCAATTTTGCAGGTTTTCCTACTTACAAAGCATGTAGTGGTCTGTAATTTTTATCATAGGTACACTTCAACTGTGAGAGACGGAATCTAAAACAAAAATCAAGAAAATCACATTGTATGATTTTTAAATAATTAATTTGCATTTTATTGCATGACATAAGTATTTGATCACCTACCAACCAGTAAGAATTCCGGCTCTCACAGACGTGTTAGTTTTTCTTTAAGAAGCCCTCCTGTTCTCCACTCATTACCTGTGTTAACTGCACCTGTTTGAACTCGTTACCTGTATAAATGACACCTGTCCACACACTCAATCAAACAGACTCCAACCTCTCCACAATGGCCAAGACCAGAGAGCTGTGTAAGGACATCAGGGATAAAATTGTAGACCTGCACAAGGCTGGGATGGGCTAAAGGACAATAGGCAAGCAGCTTGGTGAGAAGGCAACAACTGTTGGCGCAATTATTATAAAATGGAAGAAGTTCAAGATGACGGTCAATCACCCTCGGTCTGGAACTCCATGCAAGATCTCACCTCGTGGGGCATCAATGATCATGAGGAAGTTGATGGATCAGCCCAGAACTCCACGGCAGGACCTGGTCAATGACCTGAAGAGAGCTGGGACCACAGTCTCAAAGAAAATCATTAGTAACACACTACGCCGTCATGGATTAAAATCCTGCAGCGCACGCAAGGTCCCCCTGCTCAAGCCAGCGCATGTCCAGGCCCGTCTGAAGTTTGCCAATGACCATCTGGATGATCCAGAGGAGGAATGGGAGAAGGTCATGTGGTCTGATGAGACAAAAATATAGCTTTTTGGTCTAAACTCCACTCGCCGTGTTTGGAGGAAGAAGAAGGATGAGTACAACCCCAAGAACACCATCCCAACCGTGAAGAATGGAGGTGGAAACATCATTCTTTGGGGATGCTTTTCTGCAAAGGGGACAGGACGACTGCACCGTATTGAGGGGAGGATGGATGGGGCCATGTATCGCGAGATCTTGGCCAACAACCTCCTTCCCTCAGTAAGAGCATTGAAGATGGGTCGTGGCTGTGTCTTCCAGCATGACAACGACCCGAAACACACAGCCAGGGCAACTAAGGAGTGGCTTCGTAAGAAGCATCTCAAGGTCCTGGAGTGGCCTAGCCAGTCTCCAGACCTGAACCCAATAGAACATCTTTGGAGGGAGCTGAAAGTCTGTATTGCCCAGCGACAGCCCCGAAACCTGAAGGATCTGGAGAAGGTCTGTATGGAGGAGTGGGCCAAAATCCCTGCTGCAGTGTGTGCAAACCTGGTCAAGAACTACAGGAAACGTATGATCTCTGTAATTGCAAACAAAGGTTTCTGTACCAAATATTAAGTTCTGCTTTTCTGATGTATCAAATACTTATGTCATGCAATAAAATGCAAATTAATTATTTAAAAATCATACAATGTGATTTTCTGGATTTTTGTTTTAGATTCCGTCTCTCACAGTTGAAGTGTACCTATGATAAAAATTACAGACCTCTACATGCTTTGTAAGGAGGAAAACCTGCAAAATCGGCAGTGTATCAAATACTTGTTCTCCCCACTGTATGTGTGTATCTCCTGGCTGGATATACCTTTCCTGACTTCATCTCTCTGTTTGCTTTCCCATTGAAGGGTGGGGGATGCAGGTTCATACGGTATAACTGCTCTGTCGAGGCACCCCGCAAAGGCTGGGCCCTCATGCACCCTGGACGGCTCACCCACTATCACGAGGGCCTGCGAACCACTGCAGGCACTCGATACATTGCAGTGTCATTTGTGGACCCCTGAGTGCCAATGGCAATGTGCTGCCACTTCCAGGTCTAAGCTTTTGTTTCTATGGTGCCTTTACTGAACTTTTGTTCATTCAGGAAAACTCCATTAGCCAAATCTAAGTGGGTGTTGCGGGAGAGTTCAACCTTTTCTCTTAAAACCCCTTTCCACTGAAAGTAATTGGAAACTTTTGTGAGATAAATGTACTTTTTTAGTATTATTATTTTAACAGTCAAAATAACTTGTTTTGTTGAATCCAGACACTCCTACATACAGTATGAGTCAATAATAATAACTTTATTTGTAAAGTGCCCTTCAGCACCAAACTACTCCTAATACAGTATGCAATGCACCATGGTCCAGGAGATTATTAAAACATCTGTCCTATTTATTATTTTGATATTTGTATAATAGGAATTTATTCCAAAGATTCAGTGTGTCTTTTCGAATGTGTAATATCTAAAGAACACAGCTCGTAGCACATTCTGTCCCCTTGTCATTTTCATGTTTAAAACAGGTCCACGTTCAGCACCCAAACATTGTAGATAAAAATGCCATGAATAGAGCCGAAGTGAGTCCTTATTCTACATGTCAGACAGGCATGTTTGTTCTACATTGCCTATTTCTATCTCAATGTTCCAAAACGTTGCATCCTGCTGAATGCGCCCCAGGACATATACTGTATGTTTCTCTTAAATGACTATACATGTTTTACATTCCATGACAAGTAATCGTTGGGGACAAAGTTTAACTGAATTGATCTGATGCTGCCTGGGCATACTCTGAAAAATGTTATAAACGCTAGTAGAGATAGTTGTGAAAGTGTATGTTTTGGTCATTTGTCAATAAAACACTGAACCAAACTGTGATCCCATTGTGCAACCAATCTTTTGACTAGTTGGTATCAAAAGCTAAAATACCATTTTTATTATGGCCCCAACAAAGATAGAGGAATTAATTAGACAATTACAGAATGGACTGTTCAGTCAGAGGTTATTCCAATGGCATGTCCTAAATAAATGTATATTAATTGATTGGTCCCAAACATAGTGTATACAATACCTACTTCTCCACAACTCACGTGACCAAATGCCTTTCCTTGGATGAGTATTTAGACAGCAGCTGCTGTTTAGGCTGGGGTAGGGTGAAGTTGCCCATAGGCTTAGATGCTGATCTTGGGTCAGGGTTGCATTTTCCCCACTAATGGATTGGGGGAGGGGAAGATAATCCTAGATCTTGGGGAAACTTCACCACAGAACGTTTAGGCTGTGTGACTTTTTTGCTGTTGTGACATTTCAACTGATGTGTTGTCGTTATAGTGATTACAGTTTTTTTATTGATCAATCTATTTCCATACATATTTCTGGAATTATTTGTTGATAGATCTTACTAGTTTATTTATTTATTTTACTCTAAAGCCACAAAGTATTGTCTCGAGACACAAGGCCTATATGGTTTCTTTATCTGGAATTATTTCCAAATGTGTTGATTTATCGATATTTTTGTTTTATTTGCGTAACTCTTCTTTCTGTATACCCACGTTTATGTTTAATGATTGATTGATCTATTTCCAGTGACATTAGTTAGGCCATAGTTACACTCCACTCCAGTAGGTGGCGATAATGTGCCATTGCTGTAGTTGTCAACCACCACAAAACTCTAATCAAGGAGGAGGACGTGAAAATTACCAAATTTACATTCATTGGCTAGGTCGGAGAAAACAGCTAACTAACTAGATTTTGTAACATTTTAGTAAATATTAATTGCTTTAATCAAAGGACCAAGATGCAAGAAAACTGGTTATAAATCAGTCCACCCTTTCGTGGTAAGATTTATCTAGCTAACGTTCGTTGGCTAATGTTAGCTAGCTGGCTAACGTTGTTACATTCACGTGAGACAACGTGAAGCATCAGAGCCTTCTAGCTAACTCTTTAGCTAGCTATGTAATGTCCAAAGTCAGAGAAAAACTTGTAAAACCAGCGCAAATGTCACGCGTTGTCAGTTAACAGTAGCTAACTACCGTTAACTGCCATTAGCCAGTCTTTGGCAAATGACAGTCAGGAGTGGCAAGTAGTGGAATGTTAGCTAAAAGACCGGTACACAGACTATGCAAACGTAGCTAGCTACCCACAATAATACCAAAGTCAATATCCGCATGTGAAATTGTTAGCTAGCTATAACATTTCACAATTTTCAACGTGGTTCCAGTTTTCGCAACGCCAACGGCCCTTTCCCCACAGAAACAAACAGGGCGAGTAGGACGAGACAGAAACCGAAAATCCCGTTGCGTGATGGTACTTGAAGGAAAGACTGAGCTGTTTCGTTTTAGCCCATGTCGGCGAAATATATACTTTATCATGACGATATAGAAGGATGGATGTGTTCTATCTAGACAATTTGTTATCCCCTATCTCCAGTCATGATAACTTTATCATGATGACGTAACACGTTTAATTTCTAGGGTGGATTATCCCTTAGGTCACTGCGGTAACGTTAAGGTAGCTAGCTTGTCCACTGCAGCCTCAGCTGAGTCTCTTGCGAAATGTAGGTGAATGGTCACGGTCAAGTTCTTGTCTCGCTAACTAGATAAAGTAACATTAGATAATATATACCCAGAAGGTTGATCTAACAAGTAGGTAAGGTAAGTGGCACCTACCTTCTGTTTTACTCAATGCTGAATCGCTTTTAATGGGAATTTGGCTACTCTTTACACAAAAGGTCAAAGGTAAAATAGGGTCCGCTTATAGTTGTCCTGTTTCACATATGTACAAGTGTGTAACCTGCACAAGTATGTGGTGTGAAATGTAAATGTGTTTTTTGCATAGCCAGGGGGAGTGGTGCTTATGCACACAGTCAAGCAGTTGGATACAGATTGTACATACACCAGATAAGGTGATTGGTCCTTTCAAGACAACTAGGAACCTCTGAGTTAAAATGTGCATATCTTTTTGACATATAACTTCCTATTGTTTGATTCTGATATTTTCGAAGTGGGAAACTGAGCAAATTCATCTGAGTTTCCAAGTCGGGATTTTCAGTTTCTGAGTTGTCTTGAAAGCGGCATTAAAGGGAAAATCCACTCAAACTATCTTTTAGTATTTTTTAAATTAGTCAACAGTTGATACAGTCCCAAAATGTTTTGCATGTCAGCAGTCACATTTTCAAGTTATTGGACTTTTAAGAAGCAAAGTGTCAACGGCCACATCACCATGATGATGCAAAATGCACCATATGATTCATTTTGCATCATCATGATGATAATAATATGCCATTTAGCAGATGCTTTTATCCAAAGCGACTTAGTCATGTGTGCATACATTTTTATGTATGGGTGGTCCCGGGGATCGAACCCACTACCCTGGCGTTACAAGCGCCATGCTCTACCAATTGATGAGGTGGCGGTGACGCTTTGCTTCTTGAAAGTACAATATCTTGAAAACGTGACTGCAAATGTTTTTGTAGAATGCAATTGAGAATTGACTGCAAATAATAGGCTATGGCTGAAAAAGACATCTGAATTTTACATGGGCTACAATATGCTTGAGCTTTGCCATTACTGACAGGGCAGTAGTCCATGTGAACCACGGCTGTCTGACATGGGGAATGGGGACAGCTGCCAAAAGCAAATCATGCTTGTCCTTACAGTGTAGGCCTACTGAAGGTGACTCACAGAGCTGCTCTCTCTGTTGAATACTCATTAGCTGAGTCACTAGGGTTGGGTAGGATTAGGATCATATTGAACAATAATAAATTAAGTTTCTGTGCATTGAAATCTTTACTATCGTTATTAAGAGTGCACTCTAAGATCCTGTTCGATATCATGATTTGATGCAATGCTTGCTGATGTAAACACTACAATATGAAAAATAAAAGGTTTTGTTGAATATCATGAGTTGTAGCTAACTCACTCATGCACTCTAATCACAGATTACCATGGAGTTTTGGTAGGTTATCAGATGGCAATGTCTAAGGCTTTTGCTAGGCTGACACCTGACACTAGGAACCTGGTGCCAAGCACTGATGGTGACAGTCAATTGGCTGTAAAGTCTGGCAATCCTGCAGAGCACGTACCAGTGCATGTGCTTTTTGGCTTAGACCTGTAGGCCTATACTGTCTCTGTCTCTAGGACTACAAAAATGGTTTGATATAAGATGCATTATCTTTTTATATCTATTAGGAAGTCAAATGAACCTGGTTGAGATTTGTTTATGATGGTTGTGTGATTGACTAGGCTACTGAATGAGTAATATAGGCTATATGACAATGTCATTAGTTTAGATTAAAACTATGGCTGGGAATTGCCAGGGACCTCACGATATGACATTATCACGATACTTAGGTGCCGATACCATATGTAGGCCTATTGCGATTTGATGTTCCAAACATATTGCTCACCATATGTCTGCTGCAGAGGGCCAATTCCACGGTAAAAAAGTGACGATGAGACTCAGATTATTCACTTTAAAATGTATGCCAAACAAAAACCAATGATTGCAAAGTAAAACAATTAATAAACATAACAACCAATAGGAAGTTAAATGCACAAGGACTACTTTTAACAATTTCCACAGAATTTTACAAACACATTTTACTTGAAGAACAGTACAGATGCATAGTTTGGTAAATTAATGACAGTTTGTGCTTTTGGTGCCATCATTCTGTTACCAAACTTTGCATTTGCACTGAAATACATTGTAAAGTGAAAAATCTGAGTCGGAGCATCACTCTTAACGTGGAATTACCCAGAGGGTCTAGAGAGAAAATGAGTTTTGATCAGTCATGGAAATAAAAGTGCTGAAAACAAATTGGCTCACTATTTAAAAAGATGGAGAACAAGTTATGAAGGTAAAATACTGGCGTTTTGATGCAGTTTCAGCCAACTAGCGCAAAAATAATATTGCGATATAGCGTTCAAAATAATATCCCGCTATGTAACTGTATTGATTTTTTTTAAAAGCACTAGTTAAGTCAGTTGAATGACCATTAGCCTATTGTTTGTCAACATGAATGTTTATGGAAACTAAACTGGTTCTATTCAAGCTATTCTAGCTGGTTTTCATTCTGAAGTTGATTTTTCTCCTGTGTAATTATGTCCTCTGATAATGAGGTGTGTTACGTGCATGTCGTTCAGCTTCCTAAAAAATATTCAGTCTATATAGTGCCTTCGGATTGTATTCAGACCCCTTGACCTTTTCCACATCTTGTTAGGTTACAGCCTTATTCTAAAATGGATTGAATCCCCCCCCCCCCCCCCCTCAATCTACACACAATACCCCATAATGACAAAGCAAAAACTGGTTTGTAGAGATTTTTGCTAATATATATATATATATAAAAAAATAAAAAATAAACTGAAATATCACATTTACATAAGTATTCAGACCCTTTACTCAGTACTTTGTTGAAGCACCTTTGGCAGCGATTACAGCATCAAGTTTTCTTGGGTATGACGCTACAAGCTTGGCACACCTGTATTTGGGGAGTTTCTCCCATTCTTCTCTGCAGATCCTCTCAAGCTCTGTCAGGTTGGATGGGGAACATTAATGCGCAGCTATTTTCAGGTCTCTCCAGAGATGTTCGATCGGGTTCAAGTCCGGGCTTTGGCTGGGCCACTCAAGGACATTCAGAGAATTGTCCCGAAGCCACTCCTGCGTTGTCTTGGCTGTGTGCTTAGGGTCGTTGTCCTGTTGGAAGGTGAACCTTCGCCCCACTCTGAGGTCTTGAGCGCTCTGGATCAGGTTTTCATCAAGGATCTCTCTGTACTTTGCTCCGTTCAGCTTTGCCTCGATGACTAGTCTCCCATTCCCTGCCGCTGAAAAACATTCCCACAGCATGATGCTGCCACCACCATGCTTCACCGTAGGGATGGTGCCAGGTTTCCTCCAGATGTGACGCTTGGCATTCAGGCCAAAGAGTTCAATCTTGGTTTCATCAGACCAGAGAATCTTGTTTCTGATGGTCTGAGAGTCTTTAGGTGCCTTTTGGCAAACTCCAAGCGGGCTGTCATGTGCCTTTTACTGAGGCATAGAGCTGGACGTCCGGCCAAATTGAGCAATCGGGGGAGAAGGGTCTTGTCCAGGGAGGTGACCAAGAACCCGATGGTCACTGACAGAGCTCTAGAGTTCCTCTGTGGAGATTGGAGAACCTTCCAGAAGGACAACCATCTCTGCAGCACTCCACCAATCAGGCCTTTTTGGTAGAGTGGCCAGACGGAAGCCACTCTACCATAAAGGCCTGATTGGTGGAGTGCTGCAGAGATGGTTGTCCTTCTGGAAGGTTCTCCAATCTCCACAGAGGAACTCTAGAGCTCTGTCAGTGACCATCGGGTTCTTGGTCACCTCCCTGACCAAGACCCTTCTCCCCCGATTGCTCAATTTGGCTGGACGTCCAGCTCTATGAAGAGTCTTGGTGGTTCCAAACTTCTTCCATTTATGAATGATGGAGGCCACTGTGTTCTTGGATCTTTTATGCTGCAGAAATGTTTTGGTACCCTTCCCCAGATTTGTGCCTCGACACAATCCTGTCTGGGAGCTCTACGGACAATTCCTTTGATCTAATGGCTTGGTTTTTGCTCTGGTGTGTGCCTTTTCCAAATCATGTCCAATCAATTGAATTTACCACAGTCGGACTCCAATCAAGTTGTTGAAAAATCTCAAGGATGATCAATGGAAAAAGGATGCACCTGAGCTCAATTTCGAGTCTCATAGCAAAGGGTCTGAATACTTATGTAAATAAGGTATTTCTGTTTTTTGTTTTTTATAAATTTGCAAACATTTCTAAAAACCTGTTTTCGCTTTGTCATTATGGGGTTATTGTGTGTAGATTTCAGAGGAAATTGTTTTATTTAATCCATTTTAGAATTAAGGCTGTAACGTAACAAAGTGGAAAAAGTCAAGGGGTCTGAATACTTTCTGAAGGTACTGTGTATATATTCATTCATACATACATACATACATACATACATACATACATACATACATACATACATACATACATACATACATACAGTACCATTCAAAAGTTTGGACACATACTCATTCCAGGGTTTTTCTTTATTTTTACTATTTTCTACATTATAGAATAATAGTGAAGACATTAAAACTATGAAATAACACATATGGAATCATGTAGTAACCAAAAAAGTGTTAAATAACATATTTTATATTTGAGATTCTTCAAAGTAGGCACCCTTTGCCTTGATGACAGCTTTGCACAGTCTTGGCATTCTCTCAACCAGCTTCTTGAGGTAGTCTTCTGGAATGCTTTTCCAACAGTCTTGAAGGAGTTCCCACATATGCTGAGCACTTGTTGGCTGCTTTTCCTTCACTCTGCGGTCCAACTCATCCTAAACCATCTCAATTGGGTTAAGGTCGGGTGATTGTGGAGGCCTGGTCATCTGATGCAGCACTTCATCACTCTCCTTCTTGGTCAAATAGACCTTACATAGCCTGGAGGTGTGTTGGGTCATTGTCCTGTTGAAAAACAAATGATAGTCCCACTAAGTGCAAACCAGATGGGATGGTGTATCGCTGCAGAATGCTTTGGTAGGCATGCTGGTTAAATGTGCCTTGAATTCTAAATAAATCACTGACAGTGTCACCAGCGAAGCATCATCACACCACCTCCTCCATGCTTCACGGTGGGAACCACACATACGGAGATCATCCGTTCACCTAATCTGCGTCTCACAAAGACATGGCGGTTGGAACCAAAAATCTCAAATTTGGACTCATCAGACCAAAGGACAGATTTCCACCAGTCTAATGTCCATTTCTCATTTCTTGGCCCAATCAAGTCTCTTCTTCTTATTGGTGTCCTTTAGTAGTGGTTTCTTTGCAGCAATTCTACCATGAAGGCCTGATTCACGCAGTCTCCTCTGAACATTTGATGTTGAGATGTTTCTGTTACTTTAACTCTGTGAAACATTTATTTGGGCTACAATCTGAGGTGCAGTTAATTGCCGATTTCTGAGGCGGGTGACAAATGAACCTGTCCTCTGCAGCAGAGGTAACTCTGGGTCTTCCTTTCCTGTGGGGGTCCTCATGAGCTAGTTTCATCATAGCGCTTGATGGCTTTTGCGACTGCACTTGAAGAGACTTTCAAAGTTCTTTACATTTTCCGTATTGACTGAACTTCATGTCTTATAGTAATGATGGACTGTCGTTTCCCTTTGCTTATTTGAGCTGTTCTTGCCATAATATGGACTTGGTATTTTACCAAATAGGGCTATCTTCTGTATACCAACCCTAACTTGTCACAACACAACTGATTGGCTCAAACACATCAATTCCACAAATTAACTTTTAAGAAGGCACACCTGTTAATTGAAATGCATTCCAGGTGACAACCTCATGAAGCTGGTTGAGAGAATGCCAAGGGTGTGTAAAGCTGTCATCAAGGCAAAGGGTGGCTTCTTTGAAGAATCTCAAATATAACATATATTTTGATTTAACACTTTTCTGGTTACTACATGATTCCAAATTTGTTATTTCATAGTTTTATTTCAATGTAGAAAATAAAGAAACACCCTGGAGTAGGTGTGTCCAAACTCTTGATGGGTACTGTATATAGTACCCAAATCTAAAACAGTCTCCTTAAAAAGTAAACTGTAAAGAAAGTTTACAATGGACATTTGCCTATAGCCTAGGCTTACTATCTGAAAAGGGATCTAGAAACATCCTGGTTTCCATTCTGTGGGATGCTAACAGGAGGGTGAATGTGTATTGTTTACATCTTCACCATTTTGGACAGAGCAGCATTTTTCCTATTAGCAGCTGGCATTCAAAGGACCGTTCTACTCTACATTTGACTTCCCAATGAACAATGTAGCTTATGTTTTTAATAGGTTTCAGTTAATGAAGTTTAGTTTCCTTTATTGAAAGGTAAGCCATTGTCATGCTACTATTTGACTTGTAAGGTGTCTTCTCATTCCTTCCGTTTTCACTGTCGAAACACTTCGAATGCCTTCTACAATTTTGTATTTTACAGCAGGTAGGCTAAGAATTTAGCCTAATCACGTAACATGTTATTATCTTTTTTAAGACCTTATCAACTGGAATATGATAAGGAGTTGGCTTTATATTTTCACTCTGGGTTTTGAACTTTCAGTTGGGATTAGACGCTCGCTTAGCCTATCCTTTCAATGCCGTCAGAGTTTCAGAGGAAGCGACACATTAGTTACAGCATAGATGATTTCATCCTCTTTTCATTTTCAAGATCTGTTCTCAGTAATACACATTTTGTCTCTTTTTCAGTGCAATGTCTCTGGTTTTCACGCGACCTAACACCAACGCTATTGGCAAGAAGGACAAAAGACTCATGGCGGAGGTGAACGCCAGCCCGCTCAAACACTTTGTCACGGCCAAGAAGAAAATCAACGGCATCTTCGAGCAGCTGGCCGCATACATCAAAGAAAGCTCATCCTTTCTGGAAGGTAGCTTCTAGTCTTCCACCTTGCCACAAGTTTTGGTCGATAAAGCTGGCTTTCTTTTACGTCTTTACACCAATGAAAAGCACAATGTTTTGTGGTGTGAAATTGACAAACACTTGCCTATGCTATTGGCAGCCAGCTTGCAGTCCAAACATTACTGTACTGTCTGGAGTACAACTAAAATATTATTCCGTCTGTCTTTGGCACTCAACACCCACATGTCATTCACTAAGTGAATTTTCTGGCTCAAGTTTGGGTCATAGGGTTGATTACAATGTATTACTGCCAAATGTTGTAGTTCCCAAGGGTTTACAATGGTTGTGTGTGATTTTTCTACCTCTCACAGACACGTATAGGAATGAGGAGCTGGACCCGGTCACTACAGAGGAGCAGGTGCAGGAGGTGCACGGTTACCTGTCCAAGGTGGCAGGGATCGGAGAGGTGCTGGCACGCAGACACATGAAGTGTGTCTTCTTCGGAAGGTATGTTCCCTCCACTGCATAATGAACACTGGCAATGCCACCACCAGTCATTGGAGTTCGGAAGCTGCATGTATTCGCCGCTGTTAATTTGTCAATGAATCACAAAATCAATTTTGTCTGTCAGAAATGGGTCGGATTACTGCAAATTTATTGAAAACGCTCTAGACCTGTGTTAAATGTTCCTCACTCAACAGTGTGTTCTACCTTATAGGACGAGTAACGGGAAGAGCTCGGTGATCAACGCCATGCTGTGTGATAAGGTGCTCCCCTCTGGGATAGGACATACCACCAACTGTTTCCTGCAGGTGGAGGGGACCGACGGCAACGAGTCCTTCCTGCTCACAGAGGGATCAGAGGAGAAGAAGAGCATCAAAGTCAGTACCTCCACACGAGATTAGAGAAACTTAAAAAAGCAACATGGACAAGTGTTTCCTTTTTTGAATAAAACTAATTAGAGGTAAAAAAACAAGACATTACTTAAATCTCCTTTATAGTTAGATACTGCAACTTGGAAGACTGCACTGGACACTTAGCACACTAACTATACACACCCAATACGTTTGCGAGGTGCAAAAGTTTCGGCACTGTGCCTTCCTCAGGGTTTGCTTAGCATAACACAAACATCCTTTAGAGTAAGTTTAGATTTAAATTGAATGTAAACTCAGCAAAAAAATAAATGTCCCCTTTTCAGGACCTTGTCTTTCAAAGATAAAAATCCAAATAACTTCACACATCTTCATTGTAAAGGGTTTAAACTCTGTTTCCCATACTTGTTCAATGAACCATAAACAATTAATGAACATGCACCTGTGGAACGGTCGTTAAGACACTAACAGCTTACAGACGGTAGGCAATTAAGGTCACAGTTATGAGGACACTAAAGAGGCCTTTCTACTGACTCTGAAAAACACCAAAAGAAAGATGTCCAGCGTCCCTGCTCATCTGCGTGAACGTGCCTTAGGCATGCTGCAAGGAGGCATGAGGACTGCAGATGTGACCAGGGCAATAAATTGCAATGTCTGTACTGTGAGACGCCTAATACAGCTCTACAGGGAGACAGGACGGACAGCTGATCGTCCTTGCAGTGGCAGACCACGCGTAACAACACCTGCACAGGATCGGTACATCCTAACATCACACCTGCGGCACAGGTACAGGATGGCAACAACAACTGCCCGAGTTACTCCAGGAACGCACAATCCCTCCATCAGTGCTCAGACTGTCCGCAATAGGCTGAGAGGCTGGACTGAGGGCTTGTAGGCCTGTTGTAAGGCAGGTCCTCACCAGACATCACCGGCAACAACGTCGCCTATGGGCACAAAACCACCGTCGCTGGACCAGACAGGACTGGCAAAAAGTGCTCTTCACTGACGAGTCACGGTTTTGTCTCACCAGGGGTGATGGTCGCATTCGCGTTTATCGTCGAAGGAATGAGCGTTACACCGAGGCCTGTACTCTGGAGCGGGATCGATTTGGAGGTGGAGGGTACGTCATGGTCTGGGGCGGTGTGTCACAGCATCATCGGACTGAGCTTGTTGTCATTGCAGACAATCTCAACGCTGTGTGTTACAGGGAAGACATCCTCCTCCCTCATGTGGTACCCTTCCTGCAGGCTCATCCTGACATGACCCTCCAGCATGACAATGCCACCAGCCATACTGATCGTTCTGTGTGTGATTTCCTGCAAGACAGGAATGTCAGTGTTCTGCCATGGCCAGCGACGAGCCCGGATCTCAATCCCATTGAGCACGTCTGGGACCTGTTGGATCGGAGGGTGAGGGCTAGGGCCATTCCCCCCAGAAATGTCTGGGAACTTGCAGGTGCCTTGGTGGAAGAGTGGGTTAACATCTCACAGCAAGAACTGGCATATCTGGTGCAGTCCATGAGGAGGAGATGCACTGCAGTACTTAATGCAGCTGGTGGCCACACCAGATACTGACTGTTACTTTTAATTTGGACCCCCCCCCCTTTGTTCAGGGACACATTATTCAATTTCTGTTAGTCACATGTCTGTGGAACTTGTTCAGTTTATGTCTGTTGTTGAATCTTGTTATGTTCATACAAATATTTACACGTTTGCTGAAAATAAACGCAGTTGACAGTGAGAGGACGTTTCTATTTTTGCTGAGTTCAGTTTGTTGAGACAAGAACATGCTCTCAACCTTTTGATGTGTTAATCTCTCAAGCCCATTTTAGATTAGGCATTGTAATTACTGTGATGCAATGCACATCTAAGTATAACAGCAGTAAACAGGAGTGATACACAGGGGGCTTGTAATTGTCTCTACTGTATAAATACAGTTCTGTTTGTCCTACAAAAGATCAAGGCAGAGATCTGTCACAGTGGCTTTCTGTTTAGCCGTTGCCTTATTCAGTGAACGGTGGGTGGGCCGTTAAACCAATTGTCCTCCGTTAAAACCATGACTCACTGGCTATCCAGCACCTATTTTTAATTGTACTCAACAAGCAACCTCGCTTAACCAGTTGCACCACAGTTTAACGAGTACCACACCTTTGTCTCTTGGGGAAAGTAGAAATCTCTTAATGGAATATTTATTTTCTTCAATTTAAGCTACTTCTTATCAAGGTTATGTTATTCCTTAAAATACCAGAATCACAGTAACTTTTTATTGTACTTTAAGTCCATATTGAAATGTTGTTGCAATGTGTCACATAAAGGAGCTCAGAATTGTCCCCTTCCCTGTTGTCGATAGTGTATGACCCAGATATGGCTGCACGCCTATGATATGCATCTCGATCAAATCTGTTACCGACCCACGTGTCCAAACATAGCAACAGAATCAACAAAACACCAGCAACCCCGAATGCTCTCAGCCGCTTTTATCACGTGTTGGCATTCCAGCTGTATGTAGGTCTGGGTGAAGCATGCTGGCTGCTAACAGCTTTCCCAGGCCTCTCCTCTCCCCCATGGGGACTAGACCCCAGATAGCCGTTCGTTTCCGCTGGCTAATGATCAACTCAGACCTCCGCTCTGCTCATAGGAAAAACCTCTGCTTGGCTAATTAATTTGTTGGCACAGATGATGAGTAACCTTTTTGATGCAACCTTTTTCCCTAGAATCCTTATCTCTATGGAATGTGTAATGTCATCATTGTATCGTTGCTATGGGTTTAAATGGGGACACATGCCAATATATTTCCTTCCTAGTAATCTGTCCTTTTTATTACAGTTACTCATATATACATTTTATTTTGAAATCAAATGGAGTCAAAGTTCAAATGTGAACACAATGAGTTAGTTTGTCTCTCTCTTGCTCTATCACTTATCTTTCTCTGTCTCGCTCACTGTCTCTCAGACGGTGAACCAGCTAGCCCATGCTCTACATCAGGATGAGGACCTGGATGCAGGAAGCCTGGTGTGTGTCATGTGGCCCAAAGCCAAGTGTGCCCTGCTCAGGGACGACCTGGTGCTGGTGGACAGGTGAGAGCAACACACACCACACATGCATCACACACACATAAATCTAAAAGGATCAGGTAGACCATTCCCTTCTCGCATTCAGTTCTTTCACCAGGGGTCCTCTAGAAGTGCTATGGGGTTGATACACTTCGCCCCTAATCTTTGTATGTATACTCCTCTTCTACAAACGACAATGTCCTCATACACTGAACAAAAATATAAACGCAACAAGTAAAGTGTTGGTCCCATGTTTCATGAGCTGAAATAAAAGATTACAGTAATGTTCCATAAGCACAAAAAGCTTATATATCTCAAATTTTGTGCACAAGTTTGTTTACATCACAGAGTGAGCATTTCTACTTTGCCAAGATAATCCATCCACCTGACAGGTGTGGCATATCAATAAGCTGATTAAACAGCATGATCATTACACAGGTGCACCTTGTGCAGTTTTGTCACACAACACAATGCCACAGATGTCTCAAGTTTTGAGGGAGCGTGCAATTGGCATGCTGACTGCCGGAATATCCACCAGAGCTGTTGCCAGAGAATTGAATGTTAATTTCTCTACCATAAGCTGCCTCCAATGGAGGAGAATTAGAGATTAGAGAATTTGGCAGTACTTCCAACCGCAAACCATGTGTATGGCGTCGTGTGGGCGAGCAGTTTGCTGATGTCAATGTTATGAACGAGTGCCCCGTGGTGGTGGGGTTATGGTATGGGCAGGCACAAGCTACGGACAACAAACACAATTGCATTTTATCGATGGCAATTTGAATGCACAGAGATACCGTGACAAGATCCAGAGGCCCATTGTCGTGCCATTCATCCGCCACCATCACCTCATGTTTCAGCATGATAATGCACGGCCCCATGTCGCAAGGATCTGTACACAATTCCTGGAAGCTAAAAATATCCCAGTTCTTCCATGGCCTGCATACTCACCAGACATGTCACCCGTTGAGCATGTTTGGGATGCTCTGGATTGATGGGTACGACAGTGTGTTTGAGTTCCTGCCAATATCCAGCAACTTCGCACAGCCATTGAAGAGGAGTGGGACAACATTCCACAGGCCACAATCAACAGCCTGATCAACTCTATGCGAAGGAGATGTCCCGCCACATGAGGCAAATGGTCACACCAGATACTGACTGGTTCTCTGATCATGCCCCTAACTCTTTTTTTTTTTTAAGGTATATGTGACCAACAGATGCATATCTATGTTCCCTGTCATGTGAAATCCATAGATTAGGGCCTAATTTATTTATTTCAATTGACTGATTTCCTTATATGAACTGTAACTCAGTAAACTCTTTGAAATTGTTGCATGTTGCGTTTATTTTTGTTCAGTATAGTTTCTACTGTGGCCTTGTGACCTTAAGTCATCCCATATTTCTGCTCCTACAGCCCCGGTATTGACGTCACGACGGAGCTGGACAGCTGGATCGACAAGTTCTGCCTGGATGCCGATGTCTTTGTCCTGGTGGCAAACTCTGAGTCCACTCTGATGCAGACGGTAAGAGACATGTTTCTACTCTAGAAAGAAATCCACTCGGCCCGAACATGCATGTTGGCCAAATGCCATTCAAGATGTCTTTTGAGGATATACTGAATAGACAAATGTTACTCTTTTCAGGAGAAGTCATTCTTCCACAAGGTCAACGAGCGTCTCTCCAGTCCAAACATCTTCATCCTAAACAACCGCTGGGATGCCTCTGCCTCGGAGCCGGAGTACATGGAGGAGGTGAGTTAGCATTAGCAGTCATTGTTACACTGAGGTTAGTTTTAGCTTTAGCGGTCAGGGTTAAACTGGGAACACTGAGGTGAGTTAATATTAGCGGTCATGGTTACACTTATTTAATTTTATTAGGACTTCCAAGAGTCTTTTAAAACATTTAAAAAACAGTGTTATAATACATTTTTACATTTACATTTTAGTCATTTAGCAGATAATCTTATCCAGAGCGACTTACAGTTAGTGAGTGCATACATTTTTCATACTGGCCCCCCGTGGGAATCGAACCCACAACCCTGGCGTTGCAAGCGCCATGCTCTACCAACTGAGCTACAGGAGGCTAATACAATCACATTTTCACAACACACTGTTCCAAACAACAGAAATAATACACTGACATATTGACATGGGTCAATACAGACCGCGGGTCTTGACTACAAAAAATATATACACTACTGGTCAAAAGTTTTAGAACACCTACTCATTCAAGGGTTTTTCTTTATTTTTACTATTTTCTACATTGTAGAATAATAGTGAAGACATCAAAACTATGAAATAACACATGTGGAATCATGTAGTAACCAAAAAAGTGTTAAACAAATCAAAATATATGTTGTATTTGAGATTCAAAAATGCCACCCTTTGCCTTGATGACAGCTTTGCACACTCTTGGCATTCTCTTAACCAGCTTCAAGAGGTAGCCACCTGGAATGCATTTCACTTAACAGGTGTGCCTTCTTAAAGGTTAATTTGTGGAATTTCTTTCCTTAATGCGTTTGAGCCAATCAGTTGTGTTGTGACAAGGTAGGTGGGGTATACAGAAGATGGCCCTATTTGGTGAAAGAACAAGTTACATGAAGGTCAGTCAATACGGAACATTTCAAGAACTTTGAAAGTTTCTTCAAGTGCAGTCACAAAAACCATCAAGTGCTATGATGAAACTGGCTCTCATGAGTACCGCCACAGGAATGGAAGATCCAGAGTTACCTCTGCTGCAGAGGATAAGTTACTTAGTTACCAGCCTCAGAAATTGCAGCCCAAATAAATGCTTCACAGAGTTCAAGCAACAGACACATGTCAACATCAACTGTTCAGAGGAGACTGCGTGAATCAGGCCTTCATGGTCGAATTGCTGCAAAGAAACCACTACTAAAGGACACCAATAAGAAGAAGAGACTTGCTTGGGCCAAGAAACACGAGCAATGGACATTAGACCGGTGGAAATGTGTCCTTTGGTCTGGAGTCCAAATTTGAGATTTTTGGTTTCAACCGCCGTGTCTTCGTGAGACGCGGTGTGGGTGAACGGATGATCTCTGCATGTGTATTTCCCACTGTAAAGCATGGAGGAGGAGGTGTTATGGTGTGGGGGTGTTTTGCTGGTGACACTGTGATTTATTTAGAATTCAAGGCACACTTAACCAGCATGGCTACCACAGCATTCTGCAGCGACATACCATCCCATCTGGTTTGGGCTTAGTGGGACTGTCATTTGTTTTTCAACAGGACAATGACCCAACACACCTCCAGGCTGTGTAAGGGCTATTTTACCAAGAAGGAGAGTGATGGAGTGCTGCATCAGATGACCTGGCCTCCACAATCCCCCGACCTCAACCAAATTGAGATGGTTTGGGAAGAGTCGGACGGCAGAGTGAAGGAAAAGCAGCCAACAAGTGCTCAGCATATGTGGGAACACCTTCAAGACTGTTGGAAAAGCATTCCAGGTGAAGCTGGTTGAGAGAATGCCAAGAGTGTGCATAGCTGTCATCAAGGCAAAGGGTGGCTATTTGAAGAATCTCAAATACAACATATATTTTGATTTGTTTAACTTTTGACAGGTAGTGTATAAATGTAGGAACTCGGGCAGCCTTCGACCACTGGTATCATATAAACACACAAGACATGGATTTTCCCTCCGAATTGCAGTAAATTAGCTTTAAAACAGGAAAATCTCGGCCTGATGGCAAAATGTGTAGAATTGCAGGAAATCTGCTTTAAAACTGCAACACTTTAACCGTGAACAGTTTGGTTTCACATAGGTTGCGAGGTGAGGTTACTACGCTGATGAATGACAATATCCATCTGGACCTTTGCCACCGAGGGAATTTTGTGACCGGGTTAGGGGTGTGAAGTTTAAAAGGAATTGGGATTGTTAACGTTAAAAAAAAAAAAAATCTGTAACTGAAATTTGTATTTGAATGTTTTGTACAGAATTAGTCACAAAGCTGCCACTAACAAGTCCTGATCATCATTATCATAAACGGAAAATGTTTAATTAAATACTTAACGCAACAATGCTGTAACATTAGTAGGAGGAGATATGCATCCTTCAAATGATTTGCCAAGGATATAAAGCGCTCCGCACGTCATCGTCGTTAAGTTGGAAACATTTTCAGAGAGTGAGACAGGGAAGCGACAGCAGCGAAGTCCTGTATGGCAATACTTTGAGAAGTTAAATGAGAAGGTGGTGAAATGCTAACTTTGCGAGCTGGAATTGAGCTACAGTGGCAGGACAGGTGCATTGCTGAAAGGGAGGCACCGTGAGACCCAACCCGCTCTTATCCAGAGAGACTTACAGAAGCAATTAGGTTTAAGTGCCTTGCTCAAGGGTTATTAAATATTAGGTAACTTGGGTAAACTATCCCTTTTAAAACCGTTATGTGAGTCATCCAACAAGGGAAACCCTTCAGATGTTTGCTTTAATACAACCCAACACAGGAGCTGAGGACACTACACCTGGAGATTAGCCAGGAGACTGAATTGGGACTGACTGTGCCCTCAGACAGTCTGGCTTTATGCACTTGAGATAAATGTCAGGGTGAACATTAGGGCTGTAACGATGCCAGTAAAAACACAAAGCAGACCTAACTCTTTGGTCCTTTAAAAACCTGCTGTATGTAAGATATTGTGTACTATAGCTTGGAAAATAAATACATGTGACTCTGGATGACAACATAATGATGTTTGTTTCCAACATTAGGGCTGTTTTCCAAAATAAGTTAATAGCGCTTGGTGTTTGTTTCCTTGGCACGACACTAGTAAGTTTCGCGATACTGATATCGTCCCGGCCCTTAGTGAACGTCCCATATTTTATGTGACCATTTGAGGTCTGCCAATACAACTTGTTAAAGGAAGAGCGTGTGCCTGTAGGTTTGTGCTAACGTGTATATTTTTCCTAGTGTGTGTGTGTATGATTGACCCCGTCATGGAAAGTTGCGTGCGCATCAGAAATACGTTTGTTTACATGGAAGTTGATACGATCACATGCAACTTCAAATGTAGCTTGTGCGAGTTAACAAACATGTAATCGGATGGTTATCGTCTACAGATGTCATTAGAGGTTTGATAACCCAGAACCCTACTGCATGCCAGTGAGGCAAGGTAAAATATTCCAAATAGAGCTAGATAAAGCCAGAAGAATAATATACTTGTTGAACATAGCTATAGCCATCAGTCTTGCATGTTTTCATGGTCATCACTCACTCACTGCAAGTTTGTCAAGGTCCTGACATCAGCGTTAGCTATCCTGCTACAGAGCTTTTTGATGTCACGATGCGCGCACATCACTCGAATGTGACGTTTGATGGTAAACAGAAAATGTCTCTATTGAACCCGGTCTCCCTATCACTCTGTGTCCCCCCCAGGTGAGGAGGCAGCACATGGACCGCTGCAGCAGTTTCCTGGTGGACGAGCTGGGCGTGGTAGACCGGGCCCAGGCCAGCGACCGCATCTTCTTTGTGTCTGCAAAGGAGGTCCTACAGGCCCGTGTTCAGAAGGCCCAGGGGATGCCAGAAGCAGGTACACACACACATACACACACTTGTCGATAAATGGACTCACACTGGCACACACTATCCAATGAATACGCTCACACACCTCACATAAAATACACATACACATCTTTATAAGCCACACAGGTAGACATTCACAGAAAAACAACTTGATGTCAAAGACTCCAGTCACCCAAGTCAGACTGTTCTCTCTGTTACCGCACGGCAAGCGGTACCGAAGCGCCAAGTCTAGGTCCAAAAGGCTCCTTAACAGCTTCTACCCCCAAGCCATAAGACTGCTGAACAATTAATAAGATGGCCACCGGGACTATTTACATTGATACCCCCCCTTTGTTTTTACACTACTGCTACTCGCTGTCTATTATCTATGCATAGTAACTTTACACCTACCTACATGTACAAATTACCTCGACTAACCTGTACCCCCGCACATTAACTCAGTACCCCCTGTATATAGCCTCGTTATTGTTATTATATTGTTACTTTTTATTTTATTTTTTACTTTAGTTTATTTAGTAAATATTTACTTAACTCTGTTTCTTGAACTGCGTTGTTGGTTAAGGGCTCGTAAGTAAGCATTTCATGGTAAGGCCTACACCTGTTGTATTCGGCGCATGTGACAAATACAATTTGATTTGATGTAAAACCCAAGCAAAAAAAAAACACTTTCCTTACTTGTTCAGGTGGTGCTCTGGCTGAGGGATTCCAGGCCAGGATGTTTGAGTTCCAGAACTTTGAGAGGCGCTTCGAGGTAAGACTTGCTGTCTAATGAAAGAACCTCTCGGAGTGAATGGGGTATACAGTTTACAATACTCCTCTACAACCACTGTGATTATTATTTGACCCTGCTGGTCATCTATGAACGTTTGAACATCTTGGAGAAAAATCTGGCCTTAATGGCCATGTACTGTTACAGTGAGGAGGAAAAAGTATTTGATCCCCTGCTGATTTTGTACGTTTGCCCACTGACAAAGACATGATCTATACAAAGACAAAGACACATCAGTCTATAATTTTAATGGTAGGTTTATTTGAACAGTGAGAGACAGATTAATAACAAAAAAAAAAGTGTTATAAATTGATTTGCATTTTAATGAGGGAAATAAGTATTTGACCCCTCTGCAAAACATGACTTAGTACTTGGTGGCAAAACCCTTGTTGGCAATCACAGAGGTCAGATGTTTCTTGTAGTTGGCCACCATGTTTGCACACATCTCAGGAGGGATTTTGTTCCACTCCTCTTTGCAGATCTTCTCCAAGTCATTAAGGTTTCGAGGCTGACGTTTGGCAACTCGAACCTTCAGCTCCCTCCACAGATTTTCTATGGGATTAAGGTCTGGAGACTGGCTAGGCCACTCCAGGACCTTAATGTGCTTCTTCTTGAGTCACTCCTTTGTTGCCTTGGCCGTGTGTTTTGGGTCATTGTCATGCTGGAATACCCATCCACGACCCATTTTCAATGCCCTGGCTGAGGGAAGGAGGTTCTCACCCAAGATTTGATGGAACATGGCCCGTCCATCGTCCCTTTGATGCGGTGAAGTTGTCCTGTCCCCTTAGCAGAAAAACACTCCAAAGCATCATGTTTCCACCTCCATGTTTGACGGTGGGGATGGTGTTCTTGGGGTCATAGGCAGCATTCCTCCTCCTCCAAACACGGCGAGTTGAGTTGATGCCAAAGAGCTCGATTTTGGTCTCATCTGACCACAACACTTTCACCCAGTTCTCTTCTGAATCATTCAGATGTTCATTGGCAAACTTCAGACGGCCCTGTATATGTGCTTTCTTGAGCAGGTGGACCTTGCGGCCACTGCAGGATTTCAGTCCTTCACGGCGTAGTGTGTTAACAATTGTTTTCTTTGTGACTATGGTCCCAGCTGCCTTGAGATCATTGACAGGATCCTCCCATGTAGTTATGGGCTGATTCCTCACCGTTCTCATGATCATTGCAACTCCACGAGGTGAGATCTTGCATGGAGCCCCAGGCCGAGGGAGATTGACAGTTATTTTGTGTTTCTTCCATTTGCGAATAATCGCACCAACTGTTGTCACCTTCTCACCAAGCTGCTTGGCGATGGTCTTGTAGCCCATTCCAGCCTTGTGTATGTCTACAATCTTGTCCCTGACATCCTTGGAGAGCTCTTTGGTCTTGGCCATGGTGGAGAGTTTGGAATCTGATTGATTGATTGCTTCTGTGGACAGGTGTCTTTTATACAGGTAACAAACTGAGATTAGTGTGCTCCTAATCTCAGCTCGTTACCTGTATAAAAGTCACCTGGGAGCCAGAAATCTTTCTGATTGTGAGGGGGTCAAATACTTATTTCCCTCATTAAAATGCTAATCAATTTATTTAAAAAAATGTGTTGTTGTTATTCTGTCTCTCACTGTTCAAATAAACCTACCATTAAAATTATAGACTGATCATTTTTTGTCAGTGGGCAAACGTACAAAATCAGCAGGGTATCAAATACTTTTTTCCCTCACTGTATAATCTCTGCACAGCCAGAAGGGGACTGGCCACTCCTCAGAGCCTGTTTCCTCTAGGTTTCTTCTTAGGTTTCTGCCTTTCTAGGGAGTTTTTCCTAGCCACCGTGCTTCTACATCTGCATTGCTTGCTGTTTGGGGTTTAAGGCTGGGTTTCTGTATAGCACTTTGTGACATTGCTGATTTAAAAAGGGCTTTATAAATCAAATTTGATTGATTGATACTCCGTCTAGGCTCCCATTAGAGATGTACCGAACTCTGCTCAAGTGCTACAGTGCAGTTCACTTCCAATCCAACACACATTCTTTTATCACTTGTTTCACATCATGTCTGCATGCTCTAGTTAGGTGAGGGTGAGCTCTACAGTTGAAAGCCATTGAGCGTATCAGGCCCTCTTATGAAACCCTCTCTGTTTTTCCCTGTTCTTGTAGGAGTGTATCTCTCAGTCTGCGGTGAAGACCAAGTTTGAGCAGCACACTGTGAGGGCCAAGCAGATCTCAGAGACCCTGCGGCTCATCATGGACTCTGTGCACGTGGCGGCTCAGGAGCAGAGGTGAGTTCACGGTTCACGCCACGTACCCAGGCTGCATCTCAATTGTCAATGTCTTCCTTGTCTCCTTTCCATTTGAACCGATATCATAGAAGTGATAGGGAAAGGCTACCGTGCGAGGCAACCAGTTGTGCTCCACTTTTTGTGTAACTAGTCTCTCTCTGTGTGTGTGTGTGTGTGTGTCTGTGTGTGTCTGTCTGTCTGTTCAGGATTCACTGCTTAGAAACCAGGGAGGAGCGCCAGGACCGCATGGAGTTCATTGACAAACAGCTGGACCTGCTGACGCTGGACTGCAAGAGCAAGATCAAGAAGATCACAGAGGAAGTAGAGAGACAGGTAGGTCACATTTAAAATAGGTTGCCGCTCTATGATTGAATTCTAAGAATGGTCTAGTGAACGCCAAAGCTCTGGTGAACGTTGCTCTTCCCTCACAGCCGGTGTGTGTTTGTTTTTTTACCTGTGTGTGTAGGTGTCCAACGCCATGGCAGAGGAGATCAGGCGACTCTTTGTGCTGGTGGACGACTTCCACATGGACTTCCATCCATCTCAGGTGGTGCTCAAGGTGTACAAGAACGTGAGTGATTTCCTGGCCTCCAACACAAACAAGCACTCGCACGCACACCTCCTCTCACTTCTTTTGCTACTGGGTGTTTATGCTTGATTCTACTAATCGTCTGTCATTGGGACTTTGATTAGCTGAATCGGATGTGTTTGAGCAGCGCTGGAACAAAAGCCTGCATACCCAGTCGGTCTCTAGGAGGAGGATGGGCCACCCCTGCCTTAGGCCTCAATCCTTTTCAGTGTTGTTAGTGGAATTCTCCCTAGGGCCAGTTTTGTCCAAGAGAACTATCCTTGCAGGGAATTACCTGTGTATCACATGAACATGCATGCCTGTTTCGCATTTAAGGTGTGTTCAGATTGGCAAACTTCCATGAGTAAAGCTTGTATCTGGGTCAGCAATGACTTGTATAGAGTTGACATGATACCCTATCCTACATGACAGTAGAGTTGACATGATACCCTATCCTACATGACAGTAGAGTTGACATGATACCCTATCCTACTTGACAGTGAATCATGCATGTAAAGTTACATCCCCACTACACACGACCCTGAACTCAGGTTGTTTATATTTTAGTGTGTATTCGGAATGTCATACTATACAGTTTCTGTTTTCTCTCGGACCAAATGTGTTGCACTATGTACGGAATAGGGTGTCCATTTGGAAGTGGATATAGTGTAAGGTTCTGGCCAAAAGCAGTGCGCTACATAGACAAAAGGGTGCCATTTTGGACTGAACCATAGAGATTGTGATGGGGATGTTGTATTGTGTGTGTTCGTTCCAGGAGCTCCACAGGCACATTGAGGAGGGCCTGGGCAGGAACATGTCTGAGAGGTGTTCCACAGCCATCACCGCTGCCCTGCAGACCACCCAGACAGAGATGATTGGTCAGTCCCGCTGCAGCACACACACACAATTCTACCAGACACGCTGGCTGAAATAATCCCAGTAAATTAACTTGTTGTTCAATTGTGAAACCACGTGGAGATGTTCTCAACTACCCCCCCCCTTCTCAGATGGTCTGAAGCCCCTGCTGCCGGGGCCGGTGCAGGAGCAGGTGGACAAGCTGGTGCCGCGGCAGCAGATCTTCACCCTCAGCTACGACCTGGCCTGCGACAAGTTGTGCAGTGACTTCCAGGAGGACATTGGCTTCCACTTCTCCCTGGGCTGGACCATGCTGGTCAACCGCTTTCTGGGACCCAAGAACACACGACGTGCCCTCATGGGCTACAACGACCAGGTGTGTGTGTGTTTTTTTTATTTCCCTAAGGAAAGGGTCGGCTCCAGGTAGAGGTTGTCCTTTACCACACATCTAGGATGGCCCCCAATCCTGACCTTAAAGGTGTCATTGTGATTGCTACCTCTGTTTTTTAAAAACGTGTAAATGTATTTATTCTTAAAGATTATAATTTATAATGCCCCCTGAACTTAGTTAAATTTTCTTACCTCATCAGAACCCCTAAAATATAAGCTTGTTTTACTCCTTTGTTTGTAAATTATGTAATTGTTAACAAACACTGTATAGCCTCAAAACATGGTTAAAACTATCATTTTGATCTCATTGATGGTCAGTCCTTGCATCCATAGCTCTGTCTATTAATTTGAGTGGTTACATTTTTCCAGCCCCATCCCTCAGCTATTGACCAAATAATTGGCGGGGTGGCCGCTGTGGTATTGTTTGAAAAGCACAAAGTGATAAGGTAAAATCATTATTTTCTTGGTGGAACCAGAGTGAATCCTCTTTGGTAGCAGACAAGCTCCCCCACACATACTCCATTCTGGGTTCCTATTACTTACCCTTTTTCCTGTGTGCTTGCTCAATGCCCCCCCTGTGGATGTGTGTCTGTCAATGATATATATATTTATTCACTAGATGACAGACGCTGTTCTGAAGTCACCTTCCACCATTATTCTACTATTAATGGGAATTTACAGTATTTCAATGTAATGTTTCAAGGACAAAAATATATGCATTTTAAGTATTTATTTGTTGTAGTGGGGACTGCAACATAAGAACTGTATAAAAAAAATCCTAAATGTTTTTCTATTTTCAATTTTTGTTGAGAAATGATTGGCTTCTGTTCAGTTCATACAACACTATGTATTGTTAAAGTATGTTTTAAAGCAGTGGTTGTCGACTGGTTTTGCCTCGGGACCCAAATTGAACCAGGTTGTCTGTCGAGATCCAATATTCGCCGGTTTGAGACCACAAAATCAACCAAATCTGCTAAATAGCGCTGCTATAACTCTATATTGAAAACAGTCACGACCCATTCAAAACCTCCCCACCAGTTGAGAAACGCTGTATTACAGTGTCTGTAATGAAGGGGAAAAAAACGTATTTCTTACAAAACCTTTAGCTCTTGAAATGAATACATGTACGTACTGTAGCTCACCTCTACACTACAAAGCAACACAATGTTGATTACTAGAATGTAAAGCTGGAGAAGTTAATGCATGATCCCATAATAATGTTTTCACTTCATCCATGCTTAATATCTTTGTAAGCTAGCTAGCATACAGACGTTTGCTTACATGCGTTGCTATGGTTACACAGTACCACAAGCTGTCAGGAGCAGTCTGTCTCTTAAAATGGACCAAAAAGTAAATTTTCTACACTAATAATTTAGGTACTTACATATGAATTCGCTTCCCACATCGCTTGAATTGTTTGCTGGCTGCATCCATATTCCGCACATTGTTGCATTGTTGACAAGTTGGTTATTTTAATGTGGGGATATCGTTTTTCCCTGATTCTCTTCCATTAATCAAAGCCCCGAAAGGAGGAGTATGATCATGGTGGCTTTAAAGGCTCTTATTGGCCAAGACATAGCATCAGCTATGCAGGGTTTATATATGTCATTGGTGTCTGTCCTGTAGGTTCCTCGGCCCATGGCCCTCACCCCGGTCAGCACCAGCATGCCCCCGTTCCCCCAGAACTCCATGACCCAGGAGGAGCTGATGGTCTCCATGGTGACCGGCCTGGCCTCCCTCACCTCCCGTACATCCATGGGCATCATAGTGGTCGGTGGCGTGGTAAGGATAGAGGAAACACACTCAATGATGAAGGCTTTAAAGAATGTGCAAATGATTGTCGTTAACAATGCCCTAAACCAAAAGTGTAATCTCTGAAAACAAGTTGGAAGTTAGAAAGGAGCTGACACTTTCAGTTTTTCCCTGTTTAACCCAGGCATGACATTTATTTTCTTCCTTTGCACTCAACAATGGTTCATTGAAGATCCAAGTAAAGTACTAAAAATGTGTGTCAGATCTGGAAGGCAGTGGGCTGGCGTCTGATCGCCCTTTCGGTGGGGCTGTATGGCCTGCTGTACGTGTACGAGCGCCTCACGTGGACCACCAAGGCCAAGGAGAGGGCCTTCAAGCGCCAGTTTGTGGACTACGCCAGCGAGAAGCTGCAGCTCATTGTCAGCTACACCGGCTCCAACTGCAGCCACCAGGTTCAGCAGTGAGTAATGGACACCCCATCTGCAGCGATCTGTTTTGTCTGACTCACTCACTCCTTTTCTCACTACATTTCCTATTACTCCATCTCCGCTCTCCATCTCTTCCTATCTATCCCTCTTTCACCACACTCCATCTCACTTTCTCCCTCTCTATCAAGTTGCTCTCGCCATCTGTTTATCCATCCTCTCTCCATTTATTCTCTATCTGCCCGCTGCCCGCCTATGCCACCACAACCGGGTCTTACAAGGCCAATATAATCCCCTCCACAAAGAGATGGCATGTTTGGCAGGCCTCCACACTGCCACTCTCCGTAATTCAGTTCCTGCATGTTTGTTAGCGGGCAGCTAGTGTAGAATTTGCTAAAGTCGCTTCGTAGAACCACTGGCCAGTCAATCTGTCACACAACGTTACTTAAGCTTTTTTTATATTAATAGATTGTCTCATGCCGTGTGGGAATTGTTCTCTGAACAGAGGCATGCCGGCCTCATAGAGGCCCTCTGGTGGTGAGAGGAGGGACTGGCAGTGGGATCCAGTTTGCATAAAAGCTACCTAGTGAGCATATTGCTCTTTGCAGTTGTAGGTCATTCTGAAAACAAAGCTGACATATCAGTTGTAAGTAGGACCCAAGGACTGCTGATTTAGGATCCGTTTTGATCCTAGATCAGCACTTCTACTCAGAGATGCTTGGTACACATATGGCCCCTGACTCTCAGAGCGCTATTCCTCAAAATGCCTAAACGCTTTAGGAAATGCTGAAGTTGTCCCAGACATGGACATGGCTCCATAGGAATCTTGTTCAGCGAGTTCACTAAGTAGAGTTGAGACTGCGTGGCCCTGAGCTTCTGGTGTGTATCTGTCTATGTGTGTCTGTGCAGGGAGCTGGCCGGCACCTTTGCTCAGCTGTGTCAGCAGGTGGACGTGACGCGGCAGAACTTGGAGGATGAGATCACCGACATGAACACGAAGATAGAGCTGCTGGATGCGCTTCAGAGCAAGGCCAAACTGCTCCGGTAAGACATGATGCTAGATAACACACTGGTTGCATCTGAAATGGCACCCTATTCCTTAAAAAAACCTAGTGCCCATAGGACTCTGGTCAAAAGTAGAGCACTACATAGGGGATAGGGTACCATTTCGGACAGAGACACTGCTCAGTCATTATTGCTCAGTGAGCAAGGCTCCTTGGCATTCTCAATAACTTAAACTCTCAACGGGCTCATAGTAAAGGAAAAAAATTATTGAGCATAACTGCACTGATCAAAAATATAAACGACATGTAAAGTGCTGGTCCCATGTTTCACGAGCTGAAATAAAAGATCCCAGAAATGTTCCATACGCACAAAAAGCTTATTTCTCTAAAATTGTGCACAAATTTGTTTACATCCCTGTTAGTGAGCATTTTATCCTTTTGTCAAGATAATCCATCCACCTGACAGGTGTGGCATATCATGCTGATTAAACAGCATGATCATTACACAGGTGCACCTTGTGCTGGGGACAATAAAAGGCCACTCCTAAAATGTGCCGTTTTGTCACACAACATAATGACAGATGTCTCAAGTTTGAGGGAGTGTGCAATTGGCATGCTGATTGCAATAATGTCCACCAGAGCAGTTTCCAGATAATTAAATGTTAATTAAAAGTCGTTTTAGAGAATTTGGCAGTACGTCCAACCGGCTTCACAACCGCAGACCACGTAACTACGCCAGCCCAGGACCTCCACATCTGGCTTCTTCACCTGCGGGATTGTCAGAGGGGGGAGGGGGGGGGGGGGGCTGAGGAGTATTTCTGTCTGTAATAATGCCCTTTTGTGGGGAAAAACTCATTCTGATTGGCTGCGCCCCTGCCCAGTCATGTAAAATCCATAGATTAGGGCCTAATTAAGTTTTTTCAATTGACTGATTTTCTTATATGAGCTGTAACGCAGCAAAATCTTTGAAATTGTTGCAAGTTGCGATTTTATATTTTTGTTCAGTATACTGAGGTATTAAAGTACCATCTGTTTTCATTGAAGACAAGGCACTACTACTGTCTTGATGGTGTGTACCTATCTCTGTACCTGAGTATGGTGTTGTCTTGTCCCCTGGCAGGAATAAGGCTGGCTGGCTGGACAGTGAGTTGAACATGTTCACCCAGCAGTACTTGCAGCAGGGCCGGTAGAAATGGTCACCGACCGACCGTGAGATGAACCGTGGAGAGAACCTCGACCGCGAAAAGACCAAGACTATCCTGTGTTAACCAGAGGGGGAGAGTCCTTGCTACCTAGACAATGGGGTCGGGGTCAATTCGGTTTTCAATGTGGTCAAATCAGGAAGTGAACTTAAATTCAATGGATGAATTTGAAAATGTTACATTGTTTCGATGAGGATTTTTCAGTTCAGGATTAAAAAAAGACAAAAAAAGTGGAATGGCTTGAAAATGAATTGACGCCCAACCCTGCTAGACACGCACGTCCCCTCAAATCATTCACTATCTCCTTTGGGACATTTTAGAATATTTTTTGCGCTAGTATTAATTTAAAGATAACATCTTTTATCAGTGCATTTTATAGAAGAGGAATTTATTTGATACCAAATACAGCCATACAATATGTTGTCATGCATTGCAAAAGAGGTTGCATATTGTTTTTGTGTACTTGATTTGACGTTACATGCCTTTCAACACGGAAGATGATTAAGTGCCACCCTGAAATAATGGCAATCTGAAGGAAGTTATGAAAAACAAAACCTTTGTTGTTGTAAATACCTGGGAACATCCAAAAGTGCAGCAGAAATGCAAAAAGATTTATTCCTATAAGCTTACTGCACACGGTGTGGTGGTAACTCCAGTCTATATTCTGACTATGAAATGACACTGGCTATATGAAACAAAGTAGACAAACATTCTAGGTGATGGAGAGGCTAGTCCGTTCTAAATGCACTCGCATGCCTTGGGGTCATGCACTGTATTATGTCATGCTTTCTTTGATTTGTCCTCGGCTCCATGTAAATCAATGTTGGACAGAGTGGATCACGCTCTGTCCGAGCTGTTGCCTGTAGCAATTCAGCGATCATGGTTGAGAAGCCGTAGCTGTTTAGACTACTTATTTAGTGGTAAGACACTCGTTGGGTGTGTGTGTGTGTGCTTTTACATCATAGCAACTCTAAAGGATCGTTCAAGTGGAAACGTCACCATTATTTATCATGATCAAATCTCTGCACCCCAAAGCCTTGCCCCGTAATAGGTGAGATTTTAGATTGAGAAAGGTACTTGTTATGTTGGCATATTCCTTTTTAATATGGTATTCAGGCAGTAGCACTATCATTGAACAGCTTATTTATGACTTGTAACTGTCTCTCTAAACCTTAATGTCTCTGATTAGTGTGTCACTAATGGCAGTTGTCCTTCAGGTGTATGTATGGCTATGTGTTTGCGTTGGATCGGGGTCGTGCCAAGGCAGTTGGAATGTGGTCTGAAAAGTTCAGAATGAAAATGTGCACTTTATTCTTTGCTGCTTCTGTTTTGTTTATTTTTTGTACTTGACAATTTGGCTTTTAGTTTCTTTTTTCCCCTAGTTACAAAGCCAGAAAGCAAATACAATGTTGGATAGACGTTTTGAGGTAGATTGTAATGTGTGCATGCAGTGACTGTTGTAATTTGTTGTCTTGTTAACCATTAATGTAAAAATATAAAGTTAAGTGTATTAAAAAGTGCATTAAAGAAGTGCTAATTAAGAAGAATGAAATGTGTATGGAGAAGGTGTTAATTTTATTTTGCTTAACCCTTCGAGTTGAAGGGACCTGCCTTATGGAGAAATCAGTGACTTGTATTGATTAACATTAGTTTCAGCTCAGGGTAGCATAATTGAATACACAGGATAATGACATTTACAGTCCAATTTGCTCCTTTGCTTTAAGATAAATTTATATTATTGGCTGTAAATCACAGTAATGAGTCCCCTTGCACCTGTCAGGAGCTGCATATGGAAATATAAGGCTTAATTAAAGAACTATAGGATTTAAAGTGATTCAAGATAACTTATTTAAATTGCTGTTGAACATAATATAGAACCTTTTTTTTTTTAACCAAATGTTAGTATACCAGATAAAATATTATATACTGTGAGTACTACATATGTACACTGAACAAAAATATAAACGCTACATGTAAAGTGTTGGTCCCATGTTTCATGAGCTGAAATAAAAGATCCCAGAAATTTTCCATATGCACAAAAAGCTTATTTCTCTCACATTTTGTGCACAAATTTGTTTGCATCCCTGTTAATGAGCATTTCTACTTTGCCAAGATAATCCATCCACCTGACAGGTGTGGCATATCAAGAAGCTGATTGAACAGCATGATCATTACACAGGTACACCTTGTTCTGGGGAGAATAAAAGGCCACTCTAAAATGAGCAGTTATGTCACACAACACAATGCCACAGATGTCTCAAGTTTGCAGGGAGCGTGCAATTGGCATGTTGACTACAGGAATGTCCCCCAAAGCTGTTGCCAGTGAATTGAGTGTTCAATTCTCTACTATAAGCCGCCTCCAACATCATTTTAGAGAATTTGGCAGTACGTCCAACCCGCCTCACAACCGCAGACAACGTGTAACCACGCCAGCCCAGGACCTCCACATCCAGCTTCTTCACCTGTGGGATCGTCTGAGTGCAGCCACCCAGGCAGCTGATGAAACTGAGGAGTATTTCTGTCTGTAATAAAACCCTTTTGTGGGGAAAAACTAATTTTGATTGGCTGGGCCTGGCTCCCCAGTGGGTGGGCCTATGCCCACCAATGACTGTGCCCTTGCCCAGTCATGTGAAATCCATAGATTAGGGCCTAATGAATTTATTACAATTGACTGATTTCCTTATAGGAACTGTTAACTCAGCCCCCTGTAGCTCAGTTGGTAGAGCATGGCGTTTGCAACGCCAGGGTTGTGGGTTCGATTCCCACGGGGGGCCAGTATGAAAAATGTATGCACTCACTAACTGTAAGTCGCTCTGGATAAGAGCGTCTGCTAAATGACAAAAATGTAAAATCGTTGAAATTATTGCATGTTGCGTTTATATTTTTGTTCAGTATAAATTGTAGGACTGACTGGCCATTCACTTGAGCACCTAATAAATGAATGTGACCTTTGTCTCATCAAACCTCACTATAGCTGCCACTTTCCAGAATCTCTTAGTTGGTCTAATAGTTAGTTCAAACAGAGTGTAATAACCACTATCTACTTCACCTTTACAGTATATCAAGCCAAGTAAGTCAAGCGCTCGATGGCTATGGCATCAGTTCCCTGTGGCTGGGGCACCAACAACAGAGCATTTCTCTTGGTGTCATAACCCTAATTATTGTCCTGCCCATTACCTGAAATGCTCCCATTTATAACCATGATATTCCACTGTTCAAACAGTAATTAAGTCAGTAATGAACAGAGAACCACTGTGCCTCTATGATCCCCAGACTCATTTGCATGTTAATTATCATTAGTGGTGGGGGAAACAAGCCCTAACAGCTAAATTAGCAACTTAATCATTCTCTCCACCAACATTTCTCTCAAATTTGAAGTGTTGGCTGTAAGCCACGGGAATGTATTAAATCAGATTAGGGTTTTGCTACCTTTGTTGCCATCGTTTTGGATGGCTCTGAGGTCAACATTATTAAATGTAATTTCCCCATAGTTCATTCTCTATAAGCTATATCTCTTAATTGTGCTTTGGTGCAAATCACCTTTAATGTATTTCAATGAAAAGACTCACAACCTTTGACAAATTTGCATTTAAGTAATGGTAGTCTGAAAATAAAGAATACAGCATATACAGTGGGGAAAAAAAGTATTTAGTCAGCCACCAATTGTGCAAGTTCTCCCACTTAAAAAGATGAGAGAGGCCTGTAATTTTCATCATAGGTACACGTCAACTAAGACAGACAAAATGAGAAAAAAAAATCCAGAAAATCACATTGTAGGATTTTTAATGAATTTATTGGCATATGATGGTGGAAAATAAGTATTTGGTCAATAACAAAAGTTTCTCAATACTTTGTTATATACCCTTTGTTGGCAATGACACAGGTCAAACGTTTTCTGTAAGTCTTCACAAGGTTTTCACACACTGTTGCTGGTATTTTGGCCCATTCCTCCATGCAGATCTCCTCTAGAGCAGTGATGTTTTGGGGCTGTCGCTGGGCAACACGGACTTTCAACTCCCTCCAAAGATTTTCTATGGGGTTGAGATCTGGAGACTGGCTAGGCCACTCCAGGACCTTGAAATGCTTCTTACGAAGCCACTCCTTCGTTGCCCGGGCGGTGTGTTTGGGATCATTGTCATGCTGAAAGACCCAGCAACGTTTCATCTTCAATGCCCTTGCTGATGGAAGGAGGGTTTCACTCAAAATCTCACGATACATGGCCCCATTCATTCTTTCTTTACACGGATCAGTCGTCCTGGTCCCTTTGCAGAAAAACAGCCCCAAAGCATGATGTTTCCAACCCCATGCTTCACAGTAGGTATGGTGTTCTTTGGATGCAACTCAGCATTCTTTGTCCTCCAAACATGACGAGTTGAGTTTTTACCAAAAAGTTATATTTTTGTTTCATCTGACCATATGACATTCTCCCAATCCTCTTCTGGATCATCCAAATGCACTTCAGACGGGCCTGGACATGTACTGGCTTAAGCAGGGGGACACGTCTCGCATTGCAGGATTTGAGTCCCTGGCGGCGTAGTGTGTTACTGATGGTTAGCTTTGTTACTTTGGTCCCAGCTCTCTGCAGGTCATTCACTAGGTCCCCCCGTGTGGTTCTGGGATTTTTGCTCACCGTTCTTGTGATCATTTTGACCCCATGGGGTGAGATCTTGCGTGGAGCCCCAGATCAAGGGAGATTATCAGTGGTCTTGTATGTCTTCCATTTCCTAATAATTGCTCCCACAGTTGATTTCTTCAAACCAAGCTGCTTACCTATTGCAGATTCAGTCTTCCCAGCCTGGTGCAGGTCTACAATTTTGTTTTTGGTGTCCTTTGACAGCTCTTTGGTCTTGGCCATTGTGAAATTTGGAGTGTGACTGTTTGAGGTTGTGGACAGGTGTCTTTTATACTGATTACAAGTTCAAACAGGTGCCATTAATACAGGTAACGAGTGGAGGACAGAGGAGCCTCTTAAAGAATAAGTTACAGGT